CACCCATTGTCCGTCATTCGTCCGTCCGTCTGTAAACTTTTCACATTTTCGTCTTCTTCTCAAGAACCACTGGGCCAATTTTAACCAAACTTGGTACAAAGCATCCTTGGGTGAAGGGGAGTTTAAATTATTAAAATGAAGGGCCAAGTCGCCTTCAAAGGGGAGATAATCAAGAAAATACAAAAATTGGGTGGGGTCATTAAAAAATCTTCTTCTCAAGAACCACTGGGCCAGAAAAGCTGAAAGTTATGTGGAAGCATCCTGGTGTAGTGTAGATTCTAAATTGTTGAAATCATGACCCCCTGGGGTAGGGCGGGGCCACAATAGGGAATCCAAGTTTTACGTTGAAATATATAGGAAAAATCTTTTTCTCAAGAACCATTGGGCCAGAAAAGCTGAAACTAATGTGGAAGCATCCTGGGGTAGTGTAAATTCTAAATTGTTGAAATCATGACCCCCGGGGGTAGGGCGGGGCCACAATAGGGAATCCAAGTTTTACATTGAAATATATAGGAAAAAATTTTAAAAAATCTTCTTCTCAAGAACCACTGGGCCAGAAAAGCTGAAACTTATGTGGAAGCATCCTGGTGAACTGTAGATTCTAAATTATTCAAATCATGATCCCAGGGGGTAGGGCTGGGCCACGTTAGGGAATCCAAGTTTTACATTGAAATATATAGGAAAAAGTCTTTAAAAATCTACTTCTCAAGAACCACTGGGCCAGAAAAGCTGAAACTTATGTGGAAGCATCCTGGGGTAGTGTAGATTCTAATTGTTCAAATCATGACCCCCGGGGGTAGGGCAGGGTCAATAAGTACTATGGGGGGAGGGGGAGAAATCAGGTGAAAAACGGCAAGGCCAAAGATACTCAGATGAGCGCTGTGGCCCATGGGCCTCTTGTTTTTAGGAGTATTCAATGAGGGGACTATTTCATGTGAGTATGCATAGATCTCTGAGGGAATTTGTTCAGCAAGTTGCTGGGATAAGCCCGGATGGCTGATTTCATATGTACCAGTACTAGTCTGTTAGAAGACATTTTTGACTTGTAGGAACAATTCAACCACTGTCAGATGTAGAGAGTTGTAATCGCATAGTCAATGTCAGCGATTGTTGCAGGGCTATTATTTAATGCCTGCTATCTTATTTGGAGTTACACAAGATGTGTTTGCAAAACATTGAAAGAATTAAATAAATCAATAACAAAGTACAGTTAAACTCGGAGTAATGACCTTTTTTCACATTATTTATGCTGAAGGACACTTGAATTCCATTCTAGATATAAATTATTTTAAGGCTTTAAAGCTCATTTTTCTTCAAGAAACATACATGTATATAAAATACATTTGTTCAACTTAACAAATTTTGTTTTGAGACTGAACTGTGAACTGTTTTTTACAGGTTGGTTTATTCTTTTTGTTGGGATGGGGAAGCATTTTGTATTTCGCCAAGAATAGGTTTGGAAAAGTAGTCGACCGAGCAAATGAGAGAGCCAAAAAGGTTAACGATGCTCTATTAAAACAAAAAGCACTAGACTTCACAGCAGAGCAGGAGAGGGTCAAAAAGATTCTGGCTGAGAGAGCACTAACTCAGTAGACTCTTAATTAATCTTACACCATCCATGTTTATTTTGTGAATAAATATTATAATACATAGATTATGTTTTTTTTCTTCAAGGTGGAAAAAAATTCATAGGAAAGTTAGGTGATTCAAAATGGAATTGGTTAAAGATCCTTTCATGGTAGTGCTTGCATTTGCACTGATTATTCTTGCTCTGTTTGCTTTGTTGCTTTGTTTGTTGAAGGATTAAATATATTAAAGAAGTTTACTATGAAAGACAGAGAGCTAAAGCAGAAAATAATTTGACAGGATGACCAATTGAGCCAATACTTATGGCAATTAGCCACCAGGATGTCAGCCATCATGAATGGATGCATGTTGAGGCACAACATTTGTGATAGATGCATTGATTTACTCAAATTGGAATGTACTTAGCCTATGTATAATACTGTAAATTTACTTTTTTCCACATGGTCATAATTCGGCAGAATCACAATTTCTGTTTAATCTGCAGGTAGAAAATTACGCAGACTTCTTAGATTATCCTTATATGCCTTACATGTACTTTAAGTACGCTGGGACAAATTTCTGCGGAAAATTTGTGACTGCATACATACATGTAGTTTAAATTAATACCGTGCAGAAAAAAGTACTACTACAGTAATACATGCCTATTAATTTCATAATTGTAAATTTGATTTTTGAGAGGATTTTTTTTGCAGCATGCAATGAATGTATTGCAATGTTTCATCTAGGGATGCACACTATTAGATTATTAGTAGATTTTGCCGTACTTTAAGATAACATTTGTTTAGGTAAGCTCTGTAATCTTTGATTACCTATGGGTTTTTTTTCAATTTCTGGATGAGTGACAAAGTCAGTTTTTGGAGGAGGTTCATTCTAAAGTAACTATAAGCCCTACGTTGACCTAACTTGCATGGAGGATACATCTAAGGAATCACACTACCAGTGTTACTTCAGATGCTGAATCTGACCTACATTTTCCAGATAAGCAACCAGTTTAAAGTTTTTGGAGCAGTTTCTTTCTCAAGTGACTATGAGCCTTATGCTTACCAACTTTGCACTGAAGATGCATTGATTGATGCACACTACCAGGGTTGCTTGGGATGCAAGATTTGACCTACATTTTACAGTTGAGTAAACAGGTTAAAGTTTTTGAAGCAAGTCCATTACCAAGACACAGTAAGACCTATATGAACCAAACTTGCATGGATGATTCATCAAGGGATGAACAGTCTAAAACTTGCTTCAGGTATTGAATTTGACTTACATTTCTCTGGATGAGTGACTAGTTTAAAGTTTTTTCGACAAATCCATTCCCAAGTAACTGCAAGCCCTATCAGACCAAAATTGCATGAATGTTGTATCTAGTGTTACTAGATTATTAGTTTAGTGTTGGACTTGGCCTTTCTTAAAGACAACATTCGTTGAGGTGAACTCTGTAATCTCTGATTACCTTTTTTTTTCTGGGATTTATCCCCCTTTTGAACTTAAAAGTTTGGCCAAAATTCGATATAATTCTGCAACAATTTGTCATTGCATCTCTTTTGAAAACGTTTAACAGAATTTCATGAAACTTTGTAGTTAAGACATATTGCAAAGATGTGCTTGTAAACATTCCAAAATAATACCATACTGTGGAATTATATCGCTCAGTTGCTGGCATTTACACAATTTGAAAAACCTTGCTCCCAGAACTCTCACATTTTAAGGAGATTAATCATCTCAAATGTGATCGGTGGTGTCCCTTATAGGTGTAATAAGGTCTTACTGCAGATCTACAGCATATCAATCATACTCTAAAAAAGATAACCTAGTGAGTAAAATGTAGAAAAGGTTTGAGGAGGAAGGTGGCAGTGTAATGGAAGGACAGACTGGGGTAACAACACTATACTGGAACTTCTTTGTAGAAACTACAGATACCTGTATAATTAGTTTGCCTGCTAGAATCACTGAGGAACTCCCAACATTACATGTATATACCAAGGAAGCCTAATATTCTCTGTTACGGTCAGTTACAATTATAAATTTTGTGGCCATCAACCAAACTGCATTACTAGAAGCTCAGACTGATTTATGGTAAAAACAAAGTGAACAAATATTGAAATGGGAAATCATTTATTCTAGTGAAAAAGGAATGCCATTTACTCATGATTAAGATTTTATATATATATATATATATATATATATATATATACATATATGAGATGTAAATTTAATACATACACGAAGAATCCAATGAATCAATTCAATCTGCTCTCATACTACAACAAGCATATATAAAAAATAACAAACATCTCAGTTTTAATTTTTTTTTATGAAATGTTATTTTCTTTAAAAAAATTTTTTTTTTCATCTTTGAAGTTCATATCCATCATTTACATTATTATCAGTACATTAAAAAAAATGCCTTTCAGAACTAAATTAAACATGATATTAAACAACAAAACTGAATTTATCACAGCTTCAAATAGCCTTGAGACATCACTTTCAAATTCTCTTTCTTTGACGCCCTACTCTTACAACCTGAAAAATGGTGTAAATGGGACAACAACAGCAACATATCTAAAGTGAAAATTTAATTTGACATTTATGCATGTAAATCAGTACGGAAAAGGGAAGGAATTCAGGTCAGTACAATAGCTAAGAAATGGAAGTGTACCGGTACATATCACAAAATTACTTAAAAGAGTTCAATGAAAACTTGCATACAAATAAGCTTATCAATGACATGAATGAATGAATTAACAGAATTAAAAGAATCATTCATGTTTACTCTTATCCTTTGTAAAATCATAATTTTTTGGAATAAAGTTTACATAAAATTTCAAAAAGTTCACCAAAAAATCAATAAAAATTACTACAATTTCAAATCAATTAAAAACCATCTGATTTAACAAACACAAGAAACCCAGTTTCTCTGACATTTCAAAGACTGGCAGATAGGAACTTGGAAACCTTTTTCTTACAAGGAATAATGGCAACTTGTTTCATTCTGTAAAGGGACTTCTTCAAGATGTGATGGTACATGCACCATATCATTCTTACTATGAAAGACCATTCAATGACAACCTTCATGATTTCTTATCATACTAGTCCTGTATGTAATCTTTCTTTTAAAACATATCATGTGGAATATATATATATATATATATATATATATATATATATATATATATATATATATATATATATGAAAATTAAAAATAACAAGGCAACAATGTTAGTAAAACGTAAGCGCTTTCATTATACTTCTTCAGACTGAAGAAGTATAATGAAAGCGCTTACGTTTTACTAACATTGTTGCCTTGTTATTTTTAATTTTCATATTAATTACCGGACACTGTGATATTTCTTTTCATTTTTTGGATATATATATATATATATATATATATATATATATATATATATATATATATATATATATATATATAATTATATACAAAAGATCTAGTGAACAGATCAGACATTTCAAGTAAATTCTTAGAAATACCTAGAAAAAAAAAACCACTCTTTCTATGCACTTATCAGAGATCAAAGAGGATCATCTACTTAAAACAACACACATTACTATTTACTTTTAAAATGATACTATATTATAAACTAAGTGCAACATTCCACATACATATATATGAAAAATGATGTTTATTATGCTAGTTCAGATAATTAAGTTTCTTTTCAAAACATTTTAGCCTAAGTAACAAACGAAGCACTTGAATAATTTGCAAAAAGAAAATACATGCATGTGCTAAAAGCCTACATGTGGAAAATACATGCATGTATTATCTGGGACAACTTTTATCCCTGATTCCATAAGCATCTACATGTCTACATAAACACACTAAAATGATTCACAGCAAATATTCTTGATTAAAAGATATGAAACTTGCAGATGTTTTTCTCATGGGAATAAAAGTTGGTTTACAGTATTTAGCCACTCAGGTGAAACATGTGGGATTTCTATACATAACAATCTAGCAGGTGTTATAAACTGAATCCATTATACAAAGTCCACTCCTATAAACATACATGTACATTAATACAACACTTTTTATTTTAGTTTAAACACAAATTCTCTCTTTCATTTCATGAAAGCAAACAGCATTTTATACTAGGTAGGGCACATGGTACTAAATACTATACACGAATACATATATAAGGCATGTCTTGGAAAATATACAATATTTGTTAGGGACTCAACTCAGTGGAAAAGTTTTTATTTTGTGTCTCTTTTTGCTACAGAATCACTATAACAGGACATCAACGGGCATTCTTAATAACTTCAGAAGTGACAAGACATGAGCACCAATTCTCTAACACACAGACATATATTCTTACTTATGTTAGACAGTGATAAGCAATTCAAATCTGATTATATTTATTAGCCTACACCATCATATTCTAGAGCATTTATCAGTGATGCATCCAACAGTACTACCCTTGTATACCACAATGCCTTTTGATTCAAAGTATGCCAAGTAAAATAATATAACATATGAAAATATAATTATTGGAGGTGATGGCACATGATTCTTTTGCAGTTTAAAGTCTTTTTTAAATTAAATAAATAATTTATTTTTCTTTTGAAAGATATTTTATGGACTTATAAAATTAATATGAAGAATTGCTATTTTAAGGATACTTTATCAAAAAAAGAAATAGTCACTATTGGTACAATATGTAGGTACTTTTTATTTCCTTGCAACAGGTCACAACTATTCAAGGTGATATTGCTGTGAACAACAGTTTACTTGGAATATCTGTATATCAAAAATATGGCACATATCAACCCTAAACAAGTTTTAAAAACATAGGTGAATGCTGCTGAAAAAATGGCAAGGAAATTAAGATTAGTGTAATATACATCTTTGGTGACTAGATTCAGTATCATTTTTATCTGTCTCTTTGCACTGACACAAGTTGTTCTAATTAGGTATGTCAAACACCATTGGCAGCAACAAGTAGTACACAATCAAGTACTTAAACTCATGGTGATCCGCCATTCATGAGGGTACCTTACTAATTAGGCTGTACTTCACATTCATGTGAAAGTGTCCGGTGTGGATAATGTTAGTAGATCATGAACAATACCCAGATTCTGCACGTGGAGCACCCTACAAGGAAAACTGTCTCTATTACAAAATAATTTCACAAGGATCCATGATTAAAAATTTATACACAAAAATCTCCAGAACTGGTATGGAAATGTGCAATTTTGTACATTTTTCAAATTATGATCACCAACAACCACACCAAGTCAATTAGTTTTCCCTTCCCAAGAGCTATATTAAACTGACTCTTTGAATGACAAACCTATGTGAATCAATCATTCACTTTTTAGGAAACAACAGGAGAGCCTTACCTGAGCAACAAATGCCTGGTTAAGTACCCGCTGCATGGAACTATCAATCTCTCCCTCTAAAACCTGTTGTCTACTATCTGGTTCCTTTTTAATGACCATCGGCATCTTCATCTCTTCTGTTAATGTTAAAACAAAACTTGTGACTAACTTGTAAAAATGTAATCATGTTTGTTTGTTTGTTTTTAATAAGATACATCAATTCATTCTTTGAAAAAACAGGCAAAAAACCCCACTTAAAACATTATGCTTGATTTCAAATACATGTAAGTTGAAATCTTGGTTGCTATGATCAGTCCTAAATTACATAGACCGGACGCTTAGTAATCTTGACATCAATTAATCAGACATTTCAAATTCTTAACAAAATTTTGTGGAGAACCGAATGGTAGCTCATGGCAAAGGTTTAAGGTTCATAAACCCTGTGCTCAATCATATGAAATGTTGTTTTAACTTTTATGATTTTCCAAAAGAAATGTATTTTATAAGTAAAATACAAACAATTATACCATAGCTTACGGGGAAAAATTAAACAAAAAAGACATTTCACCTTGACAAATCTATAAGGGAGTGATAGAGATTTATGTCATTAAGAGTTATCTTATCAGAGTATCAATGAACCTTAAGTTTTTCAAAAGTAGGTCAAACTCCAAGGTCAAGGTCATGAGGTCAAAATTGCTACCTAACGAAAGTTCTTATAAAAAAAAATATGTGAAATATGAAAGGTCTACCACCAACCATTCAGAAGTTATGACCTAGGTTCAAAAGTTGGTCAATCTCCAAGGTCAAGGTCATAAAGTAAAAAATGTTGGTATCAACAGAGAGGCCTTGTCACATTTGAAATACAAAACCCTTAGCAAAAATCATTTAGAAGTTATGCCCAAGGTTAAAGTTTTTTTTCTGAGAAACAGACAGAGGGGCAGACCAAAACCGAATCTCAGATTATGAGGGTAAAAAAGATCATCATTAGGCCAAAATAAAAAATACCTTTGTTTCCCCTAACGCGACAGACCCAATTAAATCGTGCTGACTGAAAGTTTTTTTTTTAGTAAGCTTAATCCAGTTTTTTTTTAAACATTAATCAAAGAAGATACAATTTCATCAAAATCTGTTTTTTTTCTTCAGAATGGCCGATTTTGTTTACTTTGATTTTCAAGCGTATGTTGGAAACAAAATAGCACCCATAACACACGGTCACAGAGGGTTAGTTCGTGTTATAAGAAAAGGCGACGTACCAATCTATGCCTTTAGGTTATTAGAATCCTACACTTCAAATATTTTGCTAATAAAATATATCACAACTAATTAAGATTGTTTCTGTGGTATTCACCAACCTCTCTTATAAAATTAAGGTATGTAGTAAGCATGGAAAGACCCGTCTCATGAGCAGACGAGGGACCCTCCCTGTGAACACATCAATCAATTTCACTGCATTTTATTTAATTTGAGTTTTGACCTAATAAACAGTTCATCTTTGTTCCTATGTGTACTATATGGAACCATAGGAGTTAATATGTCTGCATATTTCATCTTGATGAATAGAATTCAGACGTCCTTTATCCATGGGTTAAACTTCGTTAATTGGACATTGTGTATGACATTTTTATCATTTTTAGATATGGTTTGGCTCAATTAAATATTATTTACATACTCTTTCCAAATAGTTTTGAAATCATGATACAGCCTCCTGAGACGTCTAGTGTATTTTTCTTTAATTAAGGCCTTAAAGATTGGTTGTTATTTTCTTTAAATTCCTTTGAGTACCGATATTGTTGAACATTAGCCCAGTGAAGGGCTCCAAACTTAGTCTTATACTAGGCACTTTTAGCCATTGAACAGCAAGGGACCTTTTTTATGCTAGCATCTACTGCAACACTGGAACCAAGTTTTTACGGTCTAATTTGAAGGACAGGTCTTAACGTCCTGCATTCTGATTTGAACCTATGACTAAGAATTAGCTCCTTACTTCAGGACTCCAAAGGGAAATGCATTATAACCACTGCACAATTCGAGGCCCTTGATAAAGTACATTGCATGTGTAAGCACTGGAACCTGATAGTAGGTTTGAAAAATATACTCAGATGTCCAGTCCTTGCGTACAAGAATCTTGTCTTTTAAATATTCGATTCCAATAAATTTATACTGGTGTCAGATATTTTACAAGTTCAATGAATAATAGTTGTAAATTAATTTATCTTGTATTTTGCTTTTAAACAGCGTTTGCAAGATATTCTGTTTACAAATTGCTTTCTTTTGTACTTTAATTATCTATAAAGGTATTATTCCATTATATTTCACAAAATATTTTCAAAGCTGGTGTCAGAAAAAAAATTATTTACCTACCTACCTACCCAACTTGAGATTTTAGGGTCGGGTTAGGGGAAACAAAAATATTTTTAATGATTTCCTTAGCTGTAATATGCTTGTTTTAATACTAAGGTCAAGATCTACCCTAATTGTAGTATTTGAAGCATGACACTCTTACTTACATTTGTAAGTGTGAAGTCTGAAAATACCTGTATATCTAGGTTTAGATCATGCAAAACTAAATATAACAGTTGAGGAAAATTCTAGAAGAACACTTATAACAAGCATCAGAAACCCTTGGTCAGTCTCAATTCGCTTACCTAAGACATAAGGTAATGAAAGAAAAAGTGAGCAAGTCACATACCCCACGCTCCCCCAAAACTCGACAATGCAACTGAATAGCACAGTGCATTTTAAATACACAGTATAATTCAAAAAGGGGCATTACTTGCAAAAAATCATCACATCAAAACTTCTTGCATATAAGGACTTTCAAATCTTTGTATGTTACAAATTTAGTTGGGCTGAAATTTCTAGATAAATAATGGAATAAAAATTTCTTGGTAATATACAGTAAAACTTGGTTATAACGAAGTCATTGGGACCTGTGAAATTACTTTGTTATATCATAATTCATTATATCCGTATAAGGAATTCGTAAACTTTATATAGTTGGGGATGCAAGAAAACTTCGCTATATCCGTGAATTCGCTATATCCGTGTTCGTACTAAAGGAGTTTTACTGTACAAATCTATACATTATGTCTGAAATACCTACAAAGTTTCAGGAAATTCAGTGCAGGAGTTATGCTGACAAACTGTTATTTAAATTCCTCAGTGATTTCGATTTGTTAATGAGTGTAAGTCCATGTCCAACACATGACAACTTACACATTTAAATAATTGATGGAAACAAAATTATGATGTAGTCATATGAATTTGTTTATATACTGTGCTTATGAAATTATTTTAGGCAAAGCACCAATTGGGGGGGGGGGGGGGTTGAGAACTATCCAAGATTCAAGATTTTGTGTGTGTGTTAAATCATTAATATTTTGATCTCAAAATCAATAGGGGTCTTTTAAGGTCATAAAATATTTCACATAAAATGTCATTACAAAGGCTGATTCCAGTGTGTATTTCCTTACTACCTAGCTGGAAAGTTTCTTCAATAATAGGCAAAACTCTTAGGGCAAAAATAACGGAATCGGAATTTCCTAGTAATATGCACATCTACACACTGTGCCTAAATATCTGCCAAGTTTGATGAAATTCTGTGTGGCAGTTTAAAAGGAGTTGCGCTGACAAACTGTTCATCTCTATATTCAAGATATGGCCAAAAATCTAAGTTGAAAAGTGCCGAAATTTCCAGAAAAATAAAGGAATCGGAATTTCCTGGTAATATGCACATCTACACACTGTGACCTAAATATCTGCCAAGTTTGATGAAATTCTGTGTGGCAGTTTAAAAGGAGTTGCGCTGACAAACTGTTCATCTCTATATTCAAGATATGGCCAAAAATCTAAGTTGAAAAGTGCCGAAATTCCCAGAAAAATAAAGGAAACGGAATTTCCTGGTAATATGCACATCTACACATTGTGTCCTAAATATCTGCAAAAGTTGACGAAATACTGTGCAGCGGTTAAGGAAGAGTTGTGCTGACAAACTGTTCATCTCTATATTCAAGATATGGCCAAAAATCTAAGTTGAAAAGTGCCGAAATTCCCAGAAAAATAAAGGAATCGGAATTTCCTGGCAATATGCACATCTACACACTGTGTCCTAAATATCTGCAAAAGTTGATGAAATTCTGTGCAGCGGTTTAAAAGGAGTTGTGCTGACAAACTGTTCATCTCTATATTCAAGATATGGCCAAAAATCTAAGTTGAAAAGTGCCGAAATTCCCAGAAAAATAAAGGAATCGGAATTTCCTGGTAATATGCACATCTACATATTGTGTCCTAAATATATGCAAAGTTTGACGAAATTCTGTGCAGCGGTTTAGGAGGAGTTGCGCTGACAAACTGTTCATCTCTATATTCAAGATATGGCCAAAAATCTAAGTTGAAAAGTGTCGAAATTCCCAGAAAAATAAAGGAATCAGAATTTCCTGGTAATATGCACATCTACACATTGTGTCCTAAATATCTGCAAAGTTTGACGAAATTCTGTGCAGCGGTTTAGGAGGAGTTGCGCTGACAAAAAAACAGGACTGACGGACTGACTGACTGACGGACGGGTCAAAAACATTATACCCCCTGCAACTAGTTGCGTGGGGTATAAAAAGAGAAGTGAGACTGACCGTGGGTTTCCAACCATGAATAATAATGTCTTTAATCAAACACAAATTTGCTCTGCATTTCAACAAAATAATTTCTGTACTATTCCCAACACTAATTCTGAAATATTTCTTACCAATCTGTTTGACCTCATCACTTGATTCTGGATTCAAAGATGGAGCATTATTCAGTCCACTGGTACCCAGAGAATCATTGGAGCTGGTTTTTCTTTCCTCAAGATGATCACCTGCTGTATATACACAAATTAAACACATCACATTATCTTAATAAAAGCATAAAATAGTTTTATAAACTTACCTCATTTAATAATAAATGCTTACCATTACGGGAATCTGAGCGCAGTAAGGAGTTGACTATCAGTGGTGCAGATGATGTATTATTTATAGACCTTTCATGTCCTATGTTGTTCGCTGTCTCTGAGAGAGTTCCCATCTCTGACCTCCCTAAAAAAATTCATAAATCAGATTAACATGAGTTGCTCAAATTTAGACACTATTAAGAGCTTGAATTTGAATGGGGCCCTGAAATAAATTGCTGTCTATGAGAAGCATTATCATGATTGGACTTTTACCTAAACTCTATTCACTTCGTCTTGTTTGAAAACTTATTGATTGTACTAAATGTCACCTGTATGGTGACAGTGTGACACAGAGAATATCCTTTCTACAAAATCAATGTGAGTTGATAATGAGTATTACTGATTAATAGACATTTGACTTTAAAGAACTATCTTACTTGCAGTGCCATAACCAGAAGTGGCAGCTGAATTCTGAACCGACATCTGGACATACGAGGCACCAGAGTTCTGTGGAGATGCTCCACTTGGAATAGGGACTGAGGAGGAGTTTGACTTCATCTCTAAACCATTATTTATGTTGTTAAATCCTGTTAAAATAAATATTTTACTGTTCACTAAATCCATTTGCATGTATAAAAGTTTGTGTGTGGGGGGGGGGGGGGGGGTCAGATACTCTTGTAATCTTATTTTTTCTGAAACATTCTTAAGTACATAACATATACCCTGTAGTACTATCCTTGATGTAAAAACTTTTGTATTCAGACATATTTTTTTCTAGGGGGGGGGGGGGGATACTACTGTCTTGAACTTAATTGACAATGTTTAAAGAATGATAAGAAAATATACTGCTGAAAAGGTACTGAAACGACAATTACTTAAGAATATGAAAATTTATCATAAGGGAAAACAACAAATGGCTCTCAAAATTTTGTAACTATATGAACTGTATACTTAATACAAAAAATCATTGTAAAACAAGTTTTGATATGTTTTACATGTAATTGCAATGTAATTATTACAGGAAAAGTTTAACCACTTCAATCATGATGTTTTGTTTAAATTAACCAAGTACAGTAAGTCATGTATCAAACCAGATTTCTGGTGTTGTGAGAGTGAGAATCAAAGAAAAATGGTGGTTTCTGGTAAACAATTCAAAATCAGGATAAATTTTCATTTCCCATGAATTTTGGTACACCAAAATTATACGAAAATGAAATGACCTGTGAATGGGTAAAAAAAATGTGACATTTCGTGTACAGCTGTACATATCACAGGTATGGTTTACTGATATTGTATCTAAAATGAGTTACATGGCCAGAACAAGAATTATACATTTCTTCTTCCAAAAAGGCCAGGCCATTGAAATGTCAACAAGCAACAACCATGTCAAAACTGTGTGTGTGATTCTGATCAAGGCAATGACAAGTACTTACTTGATTGCGCTTGTTGTTGCTGGCTGGGTTGATCTGGTTGGTGTTGGCTACAATGATCTGGTTGTGGCTGGTTGGATTGAACTTGTTGATTCAGATTGGATTGATGTGACTGGTGTGGGACATACTGATTTGGATGATGAACATCTGATTCTTGACTACTCCTTGACATTACATTGGGTTGATATTTTGCGGAGATTGCAGTGGCATTTCCCAAAATACATTTGTTGATTTCTGTAGATGCCAGCTCCACACTCTCTCCTTCATCATTGCTTAAATATCCTTTAGATATCAATCCTCCACATACTGTTTCTGTATGGGAATGCCCTTTATTTTTCTCTGTACACCTGTCAGAATCAGCAACATCATTAATTTCTTCACTTCTTGTTTGAGAGGATTGCTTTTCAAAGGAGGAACTTTCTTCTTGATTTATCTCTGGCTGTTGACTTTGGTGAGACAAAGTAACTTTGTTTGTGGTGTTTTTGTGCGCATTCTTATCGGAAGCAATGCCAACTATTGTATCTGAGCCAAGGCTCTCTGATCGATCTGTGATCGGGCACACTGTTGGTTGAACAGAATTGTTTTGGTTTGATACATGTACAACACCAGCTTGCTGTCTTTGGTTTGCTGGTGAGACTTGTGTAACATTCACTTCATTAAGGTCACTCCCCTCTCTACTTTGAAATTGTATTGGAGGAATAACAGGGCTTACAGGCTGAACTGATCTCACTACTGATACAGGTGTCTTTGCCTGCATTTCACTTTCCTTCAAACAAGTCACCTCTGGAGACACATCTGCTTTAAAATCAGTGCAAACATTGTTCAACGTTTCACTAAAGTGATCTCTTCCAATTTCTTTCCGAGAAGTCTCCTCTGAGGACACAAATGGTTTGACTCTAGTAGAATAACTATCTAACATTCTTCTAGAATCACCAAGAACAACTTGCTTCTCAGCAGTTTCATCTGATGAAACAAATGGTTTGACCCCACTGTTACTATTGTCCTGTATTCTTCTTGATGAAGGACTACTTCCGATTTGTTTTACTTCAGTTTCTTCTGAATAGGTTGTTTTAACCCTTGTTCTATGCAAGTCCTGACCACCATTTGAACAAGTCTGAACAGGTACCTTCAAATCAGTCTCATCACGTGAATGCACAACCTTTACCTCTGTGGCATTGTGTCCAAGACTGTCCAATTCAGTGTGTGGCCTAATATTTCTGTCCCTTCCAGTACTATTATTGTTCTCAGTATTTACGTCATTAACAAATCCTCCTACATTCAGACTATTATCAAATTCCTCCTCCTCATCTTTCTTTGTTTCATCTACACTTAACATTGGTTTCACTGCAATTGTGGGTTTTACAGGATATCCATTGGTCTCTTCATGTTTCCTGGTTTTATCTTTATTTAAGAGCAAACCTGTCTCACTGCCTGTACTTGAATCTTCAGAAGTGGAATCCCTAGGTCTCTCCAGGGGACAACAGATTTCACTGTCTGTCTTGTCGTTATCATTTATCTTTCTGCATTTTCTGCTACACAAAACAATCAAAATGATAATGACCGATAAAAACACTACTACTCCCACAATCACCCCAATAACTGTCCCAACATCACTGTCTGATGTAGGTAGTTTTCCGTTTGGTATTGTGCTTGAAGTATAAGTGGAGGTAGTTTGTAATATTGCTGTAGAATGTTTATTTAGGGTTTCAGTCCCTTGCTTTGGTGTAGTTATTTCCTTTGTTTCTATTTTTGTACAAAGGCTTGAATCAGCTCTGTTCTTTTCTGTTCCAGGGGGACAGGGCTCACATTCTCCTGCAAACATCAAGATTAAAACATTGTACTGAATAATTCATTATAAGTGTCTGTTGATCATGTAATACCATGTACGTCAAAAGAATACAGTGCTACCTCGGTATATTGACCTCCGTTACATTGCCACCCTCACTTATTGCCAGGAATTCTCGAAGAACGGATTTCCCCCGTGTTAATACACCCGTTATATTGCCACCCCCGCTTATTGCCATTCGCCATTGGTTTTGGGAAACAAAATGTCAAATTATATAAGGAAAATCCTCGATAACAATGCCAATTATCTAGAGCGTGTCAGTAATTTGGACAACACACCCGTGCTTTGACAGTGGTTGTGGTGAAGCGTGCCTGGCTGGACAAGGAATTCAGCTAAATTAAAATGATTATTGAATAAAACTCAAAATTAGCAATGTCTTTGGTGTGTTTTTATAAGATAGAAGAATTATTTCATCACAATAATGGAAACGTCAGGCAAGAGAAAGTGTATACATTTGGATTAAGAGAAAAAAAAAACGATTGATCAACATACGAACTATTTGATTGTAAATCGCCGATTATAGCTTATCATGGATAATAGACCAAACCATAATACCCGGTAAATACAAAAATTCATTTGTGTCCCCTCAGATTAAGAAGCCATTCTATCGATCAAAAGGAAACCCCACCTCTATTTTTAGACTACTATTCACTGTAATTCCGCACGTAAAAATATTAGGGATTCTGTTACCCCTGAAATTTTTATAAATTGTTGGGCACATATTGGGTTGATTGATAAATAGCAAAACAGAATCGGAAGAGGAGTACACAGGTACTAACAAACATAAGACTGCATGTTTATTACAACAGGTTGACGTACCCTGACACGTGACTTACCATTCGTCAATCATGACACTTTACCAACCAAGCTTAATATTCTCGAGAAAAAATCTACTTTAGATTCAGATGAATTAAAGATAATTCTCAAAACTTTTTTTTATACAGAGAGGCTATAACGGCTACTGACATCTTTGTCATCAGGTTATTAAATTCTTAGAGAATGACGAAAAAGCGAAAACGCAGGAAATTAATAAGGTTTAATATTCTGACATTTTATTTCTTTTCTGTAAAAGTAGTGTAAACCAAAAAAATAATGACATTTTTCAAAAAGAAATGAGATTTGCCTTTATACATACATGTATGTGCACAAGCATGACATAAACAGATTGTAACTGATTCAAATAAATTACGTAAACTATATATTTTGTTTTGATTACCCACTGAATTGTAAATTATGACAGAATTCGTTATATTGCCACCCTCGCTTTAATGCCAAAATCTGGCTTGGACAAAAGTTGGCAATATACCGAGGAAGCACTGTACTTTTAAAATACCTTTCAAAAGTACACCAGGGTCATTTGTTCTAATAACTGTTTGATAAAATATTAACCGTTTAATGGAAGATAATGAGCTCAATATTATTGAAAAGAGCCAGAGATTCTGCACTTATTTTGATGTCACTTGTTTATTTTTATGAAGTAATAACTCTGAAAATGACACCAGAATTTCTAGTGTTTAGGATAGAAATGTTGCATTTTTTTGTCCATATGAGAATATCGAAGTAGAGCTGTTAAAGGCTTCTTTGATAAGATTTTTCAAAGAAATTTGCACGGAGCTAGAGTAAGACCATAAGAATGGTACTGTAAATCTACAATTCCATATTTCATTTTTTGGTTGGTAAGCATGGTTTACGACTGGTTACATTATCATAGACATTCACAGAAGATATTAATTCTTATGATATAACTGGACTTTCAGACTATTATATAGCACTCCACTGTATTAAACAAAACATAATTATTCTGTATAAAACTTAAATGCAACTAGGCAGTTTTCCACAATGTATCTTGAGTAAGTCTCATACAGTTTATGAATAAAGCCTTTAGACCTGTTTCTGTGCATATTTTTTCATACACTGTATTATTTCAATTACGGCAACCCAAAACTCATTACCGGGACTTTTTGACTTTGGACTCAAAAAAATAAATTTGAGTTTCATTGTCATGCACAATCTTTAATTCTATGAGTTAAAATTTGCGAACATATCAAGTTACTGTGGGGTAACAGCTACACGGATGGCACTTTGGTTTTTATGAAAATTAGCTAAACCTCTCCTGAGCTTTAATAATTCCCGCAAAATGGTTAAAACACCTGACAAATTTAGGCCAGCAAATTCTGCAACACCATCCAATATTCTCCATGTGGACTTTGTCAACTTTGTCATTTTCTTACAGCAATGTCTTTTTTTACTGAATATTTAGCGTGAGATTTGATAATGACATGCAATGTTTGACACACTCATAAACCACCTCAGAACTGTAGGAGCTCCTGAATACAACTCCATAAGATAGATTGTAGTCTATGTAAACATTTTTCCTAACTGGCAATTATGTCCTTTAGTGTGCCTCCAAGTAATGAACCAAAGTTGACACTAAAATTTTATTTCATTGAAATTGCGTCTCTTGTTACGTCATTTTTATGGTCAGTATGCTGACGACACGGGATTCTGATGTCATTTTCGGAGTTAATATATAATTAAAATTACAAAGTGATGCCACAATATGTGTATTTTTTCTGATCCTTTTTATGATATTAAACTCATTAATTTCTTTTAAGTGGTTATTTTATTAAACAGTTCTCAAAACTTTTCAAATGCCCCTCATATAATGTAAAAAAAACAAAATATATATACTTATTCTTTACTAGGTAAACTGGTTAAAATTTTAGAATTTGGCAAAATATTCAGTGATATGATGCATTTCAGTAATCAATGAAGTAAGGGACTGACCTCTTGACATGGACATGAATTTCAAACAAGAGACCCATATGGGCCACATCACTCACCTGAGATCTTTGGTTAGAGAAAAGTAGAAATCAGTTAGTACTAAAAAGTTTAAAAACATGTATATAAGTGGTCCCATCCTACCCCGGGGGTTGATGAACAAACTTAATTCCATATGACTAATCATAGCTTTGCTGTTCTTGAGAAGATTTTCAAACATTTTTTCTCACATATTTCTAGATATTACCATGTTAAACTTTGATTCCCTAATGTGGCCCCACCCTAACCCAAGGGGGTCAAGATTCGAACAAATTTGAATTTACACTACCTGAGGATGCTTCTGCATTAATATGACTGATCATGGCTTTGCTGCTCCTGAGAAGAAGATTTTTAAAGATTTTCGAGACATATTCCTATGTAAAACTTTGATCCCCTGTTGTGGCTCCACTGTAACCATTAGTGTCATGATTTGAACAAACTTAAATTTACACTATGTAATGAACCTCTCACATAAACAGTGTTTCTGTTAACTTTGAAAACCAAAGGTCATTATGGCCCTTTGAAGTAAACTTTTGGGAGTCAATCAAACCAAATAAAGTAGATTGTTTTTACCAAAAGTAGCTATTAGGGCTTCCACATGGAATCAAAATTTAAAAGGTGTGGAAATATCAATAGCCTTGCAAGTTGAATAACATGAATAACCGGTAGGTAATATATGTCTCACGGAGAACATTCTAAGTAATGATGAATGAATATCCTAAAGTACAAAATCTAGCTTTCAGATTTCTTAAGCAATGGGAAAAATATATTTCGCAATTAAATTCTTTTCATTTTTCAATAGGTGGTCATGAAAAATAATTACCTGTAATTTTAGAAAAGTGACCAAATGGTCTAACAGGAGAATATAATTTTTTTCATTACAACAGAGTTCAGCATATCTGATTTTCTTTAATTGCTTTAATTGGTTAAAGGTGACCAACGAGCATGTAATTAATTCTAAGCAAATGAGTTTAAAAGACATGATAGAATCGTGGCAATGGACGAAATGGCCACCTATTACAGTGTAAATAATGTTGTGGGTGAGGATTTGAATGGCCACTGGCCACGTTACACAGTTGGCCATTTATTCCAGTTAAAATATATAGGAAAAATCGTCGGGGGGAACTGAAAGTGGCCGCTGACTGCGAGTGGCTGTTAATTTCGAGTAGTTGCTAAGACAGTTTTGACTGTGGTAATAAATGGGAATTATGTCTAAATATACTGAGTATTAAACAGCTACACATCTGTTATGTATTCAGTTTCATTAAATCTGTTGCTATTAGGGATGGAAAACCTTAACTTCTTTATTGCTGATTCAGCATCCAACTTCCTCAGCAAGCTTCTGACTTTCCCAAAGCTCTGCCTTATATACCCTTTAGTTTGGATAGTCCATTCCAAAGGTTGTCAGGTCATTCCATTATTTGAGGTCTTCAATGTGTTTTACTCAAATGCCCCTAAACCATTACACCTATATAAAACTATGTAAAACTTTAACCCCCTGTTGTGGCCCTGCCTTACCCCCAGAGGTCATGATTGGAACAAACTTGAATCTACACTACCTGAGGATACTTCTGTTATAATATGACTAATCATGGCTTTGCTGTTCTAGAGAAGAAGATTTTTAAAAACATTTCCTATATATTCCTATGTAAAGCTTCGACCCCTACCTGCAGCCCTACCCTACACCCGGGGGGCATGATATGAACAAATTTGAATCTACAGTATGTAATGAAGCTTTCACATAAGTTTCATCTTTTCTTGCCCAGTGGTTCTTGAGTAGATGATTTTTAAAAGATGCCACCAAATTTTCACGAATTCTTAATTATCTCCTCTTGAAAGAGAACGGCACTTCCTGTGAACAAACTTAAATCCCCTTTACCCAACAATGCTTTGTAGCAAGTCTGGTTGAAATTGGCCCAGAGGCTCTTGAGAAGAAGTCAAAAATAAGAAAAGTTTACGAACTACAGACGACAGACGGACGTAGGACACTCTTTGATCAGAAAAGCTCACTTGAGCCTTCGGCTCAGGTGAGCTAAAAAAGTACATGTGTACATATGAGTATGTGATGACAGATGAAACATTTATACTTAAAATACTGAGTACCTTTTTGATTTAGCTGAGTCCCTTTTCTGTGACATAGATCACCAATTTTCAGTGTGCATGATGTTACTGGCCCAGGGCTATTTTCACCATAGTAGTTTTTTGTTCTGTCACACACACAGTGAGCCTTCTCTGTATCTCCACATTCTTTGGGATTATCCAGCACAGATTCTAATGAACAAAATTAAATGATTTTATAAAAGCATACACTTAACTTATGCAATAAATTAATTGCCTTTTAATTAATTAAAATACACAAAAGCAAGCATGAACATAATGAATATGGCAAATTCATGCCTTCATGCCTTTGATAAAGTCATATATAGGGATTTTTTCAACCCAGTACTACAAAATAACAAACTGTTTACTGGATATAATCATATAACAAATAACTCAAGCAAAAATGCAATTTCATCCATCCATGTAATTTACTACAAATAAGTATGATTTACTATAAATAATCTTGACAGCTTGTTGTCAGATTCGTTTTACCTAATTTTCTAGTTCACAAATACGTGTATGAACTAAGTAAGAGTAAACTTGTCCAGGTGTATGGTGGCATATTTCTGCCCCCTACATGCATAATAATTAACATGCAACATAATTATGCAGACGTGCGACTTATTTATGTCAACATGCAAGATAACTATGTTGACATGCAAGTTACCAATCATTTTAGAGAATCTAATTTGAATACTGGTAAACTTACATTGTACATGTAATGCCATTATATGACATCATGCAAGAAAGATGCAACAAATTATGTTGACATGCAAGATACTAGTAATTATGTAGACATGCAACTTATTTATGTCAACATGCAAGATAATTACGTAGATATGCAACTTATTTATGTCAACATGCAAGATAATTATGTTTTACATGAGAGTTAATTATGTCAACATGCAAGATATGCATGTTAACATGCAACTTATAATCTTGCATGTTGACGTAAATATTTTACATGTAAAAATATAACTTGCATATTAACATAAATAAGTTGCATGTTGACATAAATAAGTTGCATGTTGACATAAATAAGTTGCATGTTAACATAATTACCTTGCATGTTGACATAATAAGTAGCATGTCTACATAAGTATGTTGAATCTTAACATAAATAAGTTGCATGTTGACATAAATATTTTGCATGTTTACATAATGATCTTGCATGTTAACATAAATAAGTTGCATGTCAAGCTTAATTATGTTGCAGCTTGTTTGTATGATGTTGTATACTGGCATTGGTAAGTAAGTTTACCAACATTAGATTCTCAAAAATATTTGTAACTTGCATGTCAACATAAATTTGCATTTTGGCATAATTATCTTGCATGTTGACATACTTTTCTCGCATGTTAAAATAATTTATTTTGCATGTAGGGGGCAGAAATATGCCACCATACAGGTGAGATATATTAATTGTGATTACCATATTCTTGCCGAATATAATATGCATTGGTGTAAAATAAAATAACCCCCCTCCCTTGTTTGCGGCCTGAAAACTTAGGAAACAAAAGGCTCATGCACCACATCTCTCGTCTGAGGAGCACATTGGCTAGGAAAAAGCAGAAATCAGTTCAGTATTAAAAAGTTTAGGGGGGGGGGGGGACTGAAATTTACTACTTCAGGATGTTTCCATATCAATATAACTAATCATGGCTTTGCTGTTCCTGAGCAGAGGATTTTTAAAGATTCCCCCCCCCCACCTCTGTATTTCTATATAAAACTCTGATCGCTCATTGTGGCCCCACCCTACCCACCCTAAATTTGAACAAATTTGACTTTACACTACACTATAGGATGTTTCTATAATAATATGACTAATCATGGCTTTGCTGTTCTTGAGCACCAGATTTTTCTCAAGATGATTCCTAAAACTTTGACCCTTTGTTGTGCCCCCCCCCCTACGGAAAACAAAAGGCCCATGGGCCACAATGCTCACCTGAGTCACTTTGGTCCTGCTGTTCTGCGTTAGATTTTTCCCCAACTTACATGTACTCCTCTGTATTATTTAATCGCCTTTTGTGGCCCCATTCTATACACAGGGACTATGATTTGAACAACAAGAGGCCCAAGGGCATTGAATCGCTCTTCAGATAAACTGTACAACCTATCACTTCTACTGAAGCCTCTAAGTATCCTGTATATTTAGATAAAGCCTTAAAATTCCAAAGGTAGGTCATCATGACCTAAATTTTAGATAAAACACTCCGAGAACCCAAGATGATTCTAAGCCAAGTAGTACCTGAGAGTACGTCATAGTGACCTACTTATCACTTGTCATTCTCTGAGGACCCAAGATGCATCAACTAAGTTTGATGATTCTAAGCCAAATAGTACCTGAAATATTTATATAAAGCCATAAAGTTTCCAAGTAGGTCATGCTGACCTACTTTTCAGTTGACGTACTCCGAGGACCCAAGATGCAACAACTGAAAAGTTTGATGATTCTAAGCCAATTAATACCCAAAATATTTAATTATAACCATAAAATTTCAAAAGTAGGTCATAGTGACCTACTTTTCAGTTGACATACTTTGAGGACCCAAGATGCATCAACTGACAAAGTTTGGTGATTCTAAGCCAATTACCTAAAATGTTTCAATAAAGCAATAAATTTCAAAAGTAGGTCACTGTGACCTTCTTTTCAGTCAACTTACTCCAAGGACCCAAGATGCATCAAAATGACAAAGTTTGCTGATTCTAAGCCAATTAGTACCCGGAATATTTCATTAAAGCTATATAAATTGAAAGTAGGTCATGGTGACCTACTTTTTGGTAGATGTACTCCGAGGACGCAATATGCATCAACTGACAAATTTTGATGATTCTAAGCCAAATAGTACCCGAAAATATTTAAATACAGCCATAAAATTTCAAAAGTAGGTCACAGTGACCTACTTTTCAGTTGTCTTCTCCAAGGACCCAAGAATAATCAACTGACAAAGTTTGATGATTCTAAGCTAATTAGTACCTTAAATATCTAATTAAAGTCATAAATTTTCAAAAGTTGGTCAAAGTAACTTACTTTTCAGTTGACTTACTCCAAAGATCCAAGATGCATCAACTGACAAAGTTTGATGATTCTAAGCCAATTAGTACTCAAAATATTTAATCATAGTCATATAAATTGAAAAGTAGGTCACAGTGACCTACTTTTCAATCGACCTACTTTGAGGACCAAAGATACATCATGACAAAGTTTGATGATTCTAAGCCAAACAGTATTCAAAATATTTCAAAAATATCCATAAAATTTCAAAAGTAGGTCACTGTGACCTACTTTTCAGTTGACGTTTTTTGAGGACCCAAGATGCATCAACTTACAAAGTTTGATGATCATAGGCCTTAAAATGTCCAAAATATACCTCTAAAACGATTTGAAATCGAAAGCCTGCACAGTTCAAAAAGTAGGTCACTGTGACCTACTGTTTAATAAATATGTTTTATGGCCCCAAGATGCATCATCTTACAAGATTTAATGATTCTAAACCTCTCAGTATACGAATTAATTACCTTTAATATTTTGAAAAAGATTAGCCATAAAATTCAAATAGTAGGTCAAGGTGACCTACTTTTTAGTTGACGTACTTCAAGACCCCAAGATGCATTAATTGACAAAGTTTGATTATCATAGGCCTTAGATTGTTCAAAATATGCCTCTAAATCATTTTGAAAAAGAATGACTGCAAAATTTTAAAAGTAGGTCACCATGACCTCAAGTCCATCAAGTCAACATGATATGAGGTCCTTAGATGCATCAACTGACAAGATTTGATGATCCTAGTCCTTATAGTAAGCAAAATATCAACATTTTAATAAAATGTAATTTTTGGTCAACTTTGAAGTGAACTTGAGACCACGCCCTTTGCCCCAGGGTGATGCCTTGAACAAATTTTAATCTACAACATATCCTCATCGTTTTGTGTAAGTTTGGTGTTAATCTGTCCAGTGGTTCTTGAGAAGAAGATTTTTTAGCAACCATACTTTTAATTTTATTTACCTGATTATCTCCCTTTGTTTAAGCGTCACAACCCTAGTTTTAGTATAAATGACAGTCGTTGGGCCAAGGATACCCTGTGATAAATTTGACAATAATTGGCCATGGGGTTCTTGTTCTCAAAAGTTTATGCACACCACACACCACACAAATGGCCAAAGCATTAGCTCTTTGAGCCTTTGGCTCAGAAGAGGTAATAAACTGATAGATGAAGCTTAGTTGCCCAAAAGCAAGAGAAATAGGACGATCAGGATCAATGACATAATTAGTCTAATGTTCAGTAACAACTCATAAATTAAATTCTAAACTATCCCACATTTATCACTATCACTATGCAAACTATTAACAATCTACTGTTTTCTGTACTACCGGTACTTTTTACCCCATATTGTGACCTCTCACTTTGGCCTCAATTGGTCTTTGAAGAACATTAATGAGATAAGTTATTTTTGTCTCATTTTTATTCATTTATTATTTATACCAAGTCTACCTGATCATTAAAACTTTGAAAGTACTTTCTGTATAATACAGTAAAATTTCTTGCATGATTCTCTTTTTTCTATTAACTTTCAAATATATTATTTACAGTGATTAACTAACAAAGTGAATGGCAAAGGGGAATAACTTCTCTCATTTGAATACAAATTAATAGAGCCCTGGTCAGGACCAGAACACTTGACCAAATGATCCTGATGTTCAAAAATCTGGTAAAAAAAATCCTCGCTTATTAAAACTTTTATTCTGTTTGCCTTAGATATGCCAAGGAGCAGCTCTAGAAGTTTTTCAAAGAAATACAGCGTTTTCACTACAGATTCAACACAGCCCTATCCTAACACTAAAACCCATGTCCCAGGGTCATGAAATTCAAAAACATGGCTAATCTAAGATACCCTCATCAGCATAACTATGCACTTAGACCAAATAAAAAATTAAGACTGGTTCTCAAGCCCCGCCGCATTCAAGTTTACCCTGCCGCATTAAATTTTTTTTCATTAAAATTGATCAAAATATTCCAGAAATTGCTAGTTTGTCATGACAGGTTTTAAATTTAGAAGGCCCAGATCTCTATCATTAAAGTGTTTTTGAATACAAACTGAGATGTTATAAGATTCCGCTGAAAATAGACCTAGACTATTGGAGTTTGTTTGCTATTTTGGATTATCAGTCCTGGTACTTTAACAGGTCGAGGAATCTACCACATATGGATATTGTCGTCATTGCGCACAGAGGTGCTTACAGCGAGCAATCGTCCAATCCAATGAATGAGCCGAAAAGCATGATGGTCTACTACATGTTTATATTTTACTACAAACATGTGGGTCAGGCAAAGTTAGGACTCGATTTCAAATGACTGCGGGAAAGTCAACTAGGCCTAATAATTATTTTTAATGTTTTTGTGAAAAACACGAAGAATAGGTTCTAATTAAGATTTCCATGCTCAAATTAACAAACAAAGACAATTTTCTGTGTTAAATAGTACGTTGAAATACCGCTCACAGTCTTCACAAGTAGGACCTATATAAGAACTCAGTTTTTGAAAACTTGATATTCATATATTTGCCATGCTACTGGTGTTATTCATTGTTACTTTGTTATTTGTTTACCAGAAATTAAAAGTTAATGCAGTTATAAAAAACGTAAGTCTATTGCTGTATGGTATTTAAATTCTCAAGTACATTGATCATAGAATGTGTATCGAGTAGCATATATATCGAAGTTGTATACGTAGTAAACAATGACAATACGTGAGTACACCTCAGAGTCGATTTGTTTTGGACCAGGGAATAGTCACGTGAAATTCATACTGACTGATAGTACAGCACGGGAAAAACTGCCAGGCTATTGTCAACAAACAGACTTATACAATGGAGTGGAGAAAACCCAAATTTTACTGTTGTAAAACATTTGTATGTAAATGTGAGCATGGAACTAGAAGATAGTGATGTACATATTATATTATGTGTGTAAAATTGCTTGAAAAAAATCATCATGTCTTTCCGAGAGCAATTTCAAAAACTGGCCTTTTTGAAACGTACATGTAGTATTTTTTGTTGTAACCCATAATGCAACTCATTTAGCTGATTGGTCAGTTTGCCAGTCACGTTGGGTACCTCATTTAGCATGTAAATTTATTCCGACGTCAGAGAAAATAGTTTCCTCGACCTGTTTAACTTGTGGCCCAAATGTTTTGATGTCATGAAGCATAATTGGCAATAAAAGTTCCAACATATCTGTAAGAAATTTACTAGTTTCATTTTTAGACTGTCACGTCTGGTCTAGGTGGTGGACTTATCACTCCAACTTAGTCAAAGTATGAATTATGCAGTCCCGAGTTATGCAGTTGAGGCATTGTTTGGTAAATAAAAAAAATGGATTTGTTTGTTAGGGTGATGCTTTCAGATAGTATCAATGAAACTATTCGTTTGTTTGGAAGTTATGATATCTTTAATCTAGTTTGAAAATACAGATGCAGTTCAGAGCAAAATTCAAAATGAAGTCAAAAATGTACATAATGTCCTTTAAATGTCCATATGATGACCTACAGAAAAACAGTATTACTGAACCCTATTTAGAAGAATAACAAGAGAGTGTTAATATTTAACAAGATTCTGTATATGAACAAAATCATTAAGGCTTGAGCTAAATATACTCGTATGGTTGTGAATTACACTACAGAATCTCAAAGCTTCAGATTTTACCAAGGCTCCACACGTAAGTTGTTTGTTGGGCAAGCTTTTCATGTGAAAGAAGTTGTCTTGCTCAAATTCATTTTAGATTCCCTATTTCAAGTATTGCTCATTTTCCTGATGTTTGTTACTGCTGCAGAAGCAATGACAATGTGCAGAAAGTTGATCGTGCCAGACGTGCCTACTCAGTTTACTAATTATAATGATAGAAGCTCTTTCTAAACAGAAACATAACTTGTAGAATGAAAAGAATGCCAAAGTACAAAAAGATGAATGACTATCTTTGAATGTTTATTGAAATAACATGATTTGCCGTAGCAATATGAAAATGATCTTGAAAATAAAAAATAAAATAAAAAACCTGCCTGCCTCATTTGATTTTCAAAAAGATGGCCTGAGAACCAACTTTTTTTTTTTGCTTGGCCTTAGTTGAAGATTTTCAAAGAATTAATACATTTTCACTATATTATCAATATACCCCCCCCCCCCCCCCCCCCCCCCCCCCCCCGAGGAACACCAAAACCTGGGGACTGCAAGTTTTAAAAAATTTGTAAGAAGCACAATTGTTCATCATAACTATGCACTTTGTTTATCAGCTCAACACTCAGGAGCAGACATGATTATTTAACAGAATTAATGCATTTTCACTATATTATCAATAGAGCCCCACCCTTACACCAGAACATCTGACTTAGGGGCCATGAAACTCACAATTCTGGAAGGAGCACTCTTGTTCATCATAACTATACACTTAGTTTCTTTGCTTTATAACCAGGAGCAGAAAAGAATATTTTCAAAGAAATTGTGGTTTTTACTATATAATCAATAAATAGAGCCCCCCCCCCCCCCCCCGGGGCCATGAATTTCACAATTCTGGAAAAAGAATCAATGCTTATCATAACCATGCACTTAGTTTGTTTAAATAATACCCAGGTGCAGAGAAGAAGATTTTCAGAGAATCAATGCATTTTCACTATATAATCAATGGAGCCCCGCACTAACACCAAATACCCTGACCCACCGGCCATGAATTTCAAAATTTTGTAAAAGGCATCCTTGTGCATCGTAACCATGTACTTTGTTTGTTTAAATAATACCAAGGAGCAGAGAAGAAGATTTTCAAAGAAATAATGCATTTTCACTATACAATCAATAGATCTGCCCCAACAGCAAAACCCCTGACCCAGGGGCCATGAATTTTACAATTTTGGAAAAGGCATCCTTGTGCATCATAACCATGCACATAGTTTGTTTAAATAATACCAAGGAGAAGAGAAGAGGATTTTCGAAGAAATAATGCACTTTCACTATATGATGTATATAGCCCCGCCCTAGCACCATGAGCACCAGAACCCCTGATCCTGGGGCCATGAATTTCACAGTTTTGTTAGAGGGATCAATGCTTATTACAATCATGACAACAATTTGACTGCTTGATATCAAGGATGCTATATACCAATTTGGTTGAAATTGGTTAAGCGGTTTCAGAGAAGAAGCTAAAAATGTTCAAACGTTAACACACAACGCACGACTCACTCAGGTGACCTAAGAACCTGTCAAAATCCTATTGTAGTGTACAATACGTGCCCATTTCTAGCAAAAAAAATATTCTAGGAAAAAAGTGTGTATTATATTCGGCAAAATACGGTAGTCAGTTATTACTGGTTGAGATACACATCAGCGAATTTTTTTTAACTACTGGTTTATAGCCTCTTTTTCTTTTCCTTTGGGTAGGGGGTGGGTGGAGGAGTGGGGCATGGGGTGAGCATTTCTTTAAATGGATATAACACAATCTCAACAGTTTAAAAAAAATCAACAAAATACCTCCAAAAATATGCAAATAACGATGGACTTGACAGCTAGATTTTGAGAATTTTCTGAAAAGAATGCATCAAGATACCAGGAAAAACAATGGATAAGATTTTGAAGAGGACTTTGAAAGCATCTTTTTGAAGGCCTCATTATAGATCTTACTCACCAATTGTATCACATTGGTCACAGTCATTTTTGTAACAGTCTGGTGGTTCAGTCCATTTAGATGTGTCTATTCTATCAGGCATGAAGTACCCTACTGGGCAGTCTATACACAAATCACTGGTATTATCTTTAGTGCATGGAAGAAACACCTGATCTGTGTAGAGAATGTGTGGTTAATATAAAATGTATGAACAATCAATATACCACATAATGTAAAAACTAGAAATATGTCCATAGGACATGAATGCCCCTTCCAATGATACACTTGCATTGCAACATAAAAAAAGTACCTTGCTTCTTTGGTCTGAGCAAATACATGTGCTGGTAGTAGAATGATGAAAGAAGGAATTATTTGTGTAGTGTGCATGATCGTTTGTGTACATGCATTATTAGGAATAGTGAGTTCAAGGTCATAAGGATGGACAGAGGGATGGATGGAAGGTTGAAGAACAGTGCAAAAGATGGTTGTGATAAACACTTTATGCTCCAACCATATTCCTGGCAGGGCATAAAATTGTACAAAGGTATCACTTGTTTTGATAGGTATATGCTATATTGACTTACTCTATGTGACTAAATTTCTCATATATATCACATTTATTGTATTGTGGATTAAACATTTATTGTATTGTGGATTAAACAGTCATGAGCTACATGTAGTAACTCTGCCATTTACAGAGTATGATGATGATATTTTTATGGTTTTTAACAACTTACTCTTTGAGCAGTTTTGTACAAAACATCTGATCTGGCCCCGGTTTATCACTTGTCCCTGTAAAATGATAAGTATTTGAGGATGAGTAAACATTAGATATTTTAATCATCTGAATCAGTCATTATATGTGTGTCTTATAACAATTGCAACTTATAAATTTATTGTCAAAGCTTTAAAACAACTTCAGTGAAATAATATTAACATGATTAATTAAACATTTTACAATAAAGGGAAGGAGAACTTTTTGTGTACTTCTATCCAAGATTTTTTTGTAGGTGTGTGTTGAATCATTAATATTTTGATCTCAACATCAAAAGGGGTTTTTTAAGGTCATAAAATATTTCACATAAAATTTAATTACAAAAGCTGATTCCAGTGGCTGGAAAGTTTCTTCAATAATAGCCAAAACTCTAAGGAAAAAATAAGGGAATCGGAATTTTCTGGCAATATGCACAACTACATATTGTGTTCTAAATATCTGCAAAGTTTGACGAAATTCTGTGCAGCGATTTAAGAGGAGTTGAGCTGATAAACTGAAACTGTTCATCTCTATAATCAAGATATGGCCAAAATCTAAGATAAAAAGTGCCGAAATCCAGAAAAATAATGGAATCAGAATTTCCTGGCAATAAGCACATGTACACACTGTGTTCTAAATATCTGCAAAGTCTGACGAAATTCAGTGCAGCGGTTTAAAAGGAGTTGTGCTGACAAACTGTTCATCTCTATATTCAAGATATGGCCAAAAATCTAAGTTGAAAAGTGTCGAAATTCCCAGAGAAATAAAGGAATCGGAATTTAATGGTAATATGCACATCTACATATTGTGTCTTAAATATCTGCAAAGTTTGACGAAATTCTGTGCAGCGGTTTAGGAGGAGTTGCGCTGACAAACTTTTCATCTCTATATTCAAGATATGGCCAAAAATCTAAGTTGAAAAGTGTCGAAATTCCCAGAAAAATAAAGGAATCAGAATTTCCTGGTAATATGCACATCTACATATTGTGTCCTAAATATCTGCAAAGTTTGATGAAATTCTGTGCAGCGGTTTAGGAGGAGTTGCACTGACAAACTGTTCATCTCTATATTCAAGATATGGCCAAAAATCTAAGTTGAAAAGTGCTGAAATTCCCAGAAAAAATAATGGAATCAGAATTCCCTGGCAATATGCACAACTACACACTATGTCCTAAATATTTGCAAAGTTTGACGAAATTCTGTGCAGCAGTTTAAGAGGAGTTGCACTGACCAAAAAAAACAGGACTAATTGACTAACTGACAGACGGACGAGTCAAAAACATTAGACCCCCCGCAACTTGTTGTGTGGGGTATAATAAAAACATTATTTGCTTCTCCTGAAAAGTGACAAAAATTTTACATACGATAATTTGGAACTGCAACGACAACATGCTATCTGAATTGTTTTCTTATATCATATGTATCAGCTAGTTTTTATTTAGGCCAAAGTTTTTTTTTCGTTTGGTTTACGATTCCGCCGACCCTAATTTTCACAAATCATGAAAATAAAAATAATGTCTTTTTCCGACATATATTTCCGGATTTTTCTCAGCTGAACTGGTGGGTTTTAAATTTTAGAATGCATCTTAGTCAAATAAGCGCTTATAAATATATGAGATCTTTACAAACATTTAGGTGACCGTAAATAAACACATGTGCAAACCAAAAATGGCGGCTCTGTCATGTAACTAGGTAATTCCTCACTGAAAGCAATGACACACACTTAAAGAACTTTTTCTGCGTGGAAAAGTGAATAAAATCTTGGATAAATGATCCATTTCTCCAATTGCAATGTCTCAATTGGCTAAATTCATACCGTAATATTGGAGAGTGTATGCCCAACCCTGATCGACCTAGCAGACACGGATACACCTATAGATAATAAGGATTTATCAGTGCCTTCTCAGGGGCCGAAGTTCGGCCCATTCCCAATTGAAAATGAGTTCAGTTTTTTCCCAATTTGGCAGTACTTTTAACAATGCTTTTATTTTTAATTGTCTTGGAAAACACAAAGTAAAATTGTCAGATTTTCTGTAATTTTCATATATTTAACTCATTTAGCAAAGCTACAGTCATAACACATGTTTAAAAAAAACTGTAAAAACATCGCCAACTTTTAATCCGAATTTCCTCCGTTTTTCTAAAAATGATGATATTGTGTAATTATATAGATTTATTAAGTTATTTCCACCTACTCATTTGATCTGCGAGTTAATGGTAAGGAATTAAGGCATTATTTCAGATAGAAAAATATATTTTCAATGCATTAATACATATTAAAAGAGGACTTTTAGAAAATGTGTACATAGTATAATTTTTTGCAGGAGGTTTATAATCTTCAGAAACAGATACTAATCTAAATTGAAATGTCATACACACATGTACATGATGTACATGTACTACCCTAAGTTGTATAAATGCTTTATACCAATTGAAGTCCATTTTACTTTTATTAGTCTATTATTCAAAATTGATTTTGTACGAATAAGATGGTCCATATTTAATTGTCATTTGGTTGCCCAAATTAGAGTTCGTGCTGAAATGTTATTACCCCTGAGTACATGATTTAAGCAACATTTAAAAAATTTTTTGCAATTTCATCAAATAGCCGATAATTTTTTCCCAATTCCCCAAAAATGGTGTTTCCCAAAGGCTGATAAATCCATGGATAATAGTTAGGCCAATTTAGTGTTGAGAGATACATCTTAGTTGAAGTAACGTTGACTGGTATTTCACTGGATAAATTCAAATGTGTATAAAACATTTGTTAGTTTATAGAAGTAAATTCAATATACAAATCTTTGCAAATTTCATACTCAATTGAGATTAAAGCCCTTTGAATTACTAATAAATAATGAGCATTGCCTACTGTGCAAGTACATAACAAACATTTAAAGAAGGACTTGATTGAGAAATTATTAGGCTTTTTTGCTGCAGGTTGAACATTAAATTTGATAGCTGCATGATCAAATTATTATAACCTTTATTTCAACGTCAATTACTTTTAATATTGTTAAACACTTTAATTGTATTTTTCTTCAATCTAAATTTAACTTGAATTTGGATCCTTATATTTTAGTTTGTGGGGATACCAAGGTTTATAACACATCACATATCACTGAAGAGCACAAAATGTTGAACATCATGAACCAAGCACTGATTGACAAACAAAAATCAGAACTATATGTAAATGAAAATGACATTCACTCTAAAGTTAGAAATGAATTAAAATTAAATAAAAAGAGTTATGTGATCTAGACAATAAAACTTAAAAGTACTATTGACGTGTATTATTTTTATTAAAATAAACATTGCTGTTATTTTAAAATGAAATTGTTGAATCCTAAATTATTTTTATTTTTATTTTTCGACCACCCAATGCATTTTTTTGAGACAGAAAATCGTAAACCAAAAAAAATAAAAACTTTGGCCTTAAAATAATTGAACAGGGCTTTACTGGTACAATTTACTGGTTATGTTTATCTAGATCCAATAGATCTTATCTTGTAAATTAATGACTGGTCTAGATATAACACTTGCATCATTTTAACAATTCCTAGAATTCTAAAATACTTACCAACCCCTCGCCATGGTACTCCAAGATAAACATCAATAAAACCCACTCTGCTCCCATTTTACTATAAAATACCTGCCAATAATAAACATAGAACATGAAAAAAAATTGAAAATGTTATCTTTTTGCAACAAATCTACCAAGTGGCCTCAGAATTTGGCCACTTGGATTTACAAAGCAGAAAGTAATGAAAGTCAAAGTAGCAGCTGGTCACTGGAATTTCAGGTTTTCAGTATTGTCCACTCTGACTCTCCCCAAGTACATCAAAATATAAAAATGTGAAGGTTAGAGTCAGAGGAATCTTAGATTATCCCTTTTATTGATTGAGTTGCTGATACATTATTTGTTTGTTTTTTATGTTTTTGTTTGTTTGTTTTTTTTTTTAATAAATCATGCCTCGAAAAAACCTAAGTATTTAAATTAAATGGAGGATCCAACTGACATAATATACTGTCAGACATGGTTTAAATTAATAAGCATAGTAAATTATGAATTGAGATGGTTCATTGTCAAAACATCAGACATAAATGGGTGTGCTGATAAGTTGAATTATGCACCTTATGAAAACTTTTTTTTCTATTATCCTAATCATACAAAATGCTTTTGGGTAGTTTTAGTGAAAAATATACTTAAGATATCATTATTAAAGATTAAGGGCAGATCATACATTCCTAAACAAGTATCTCATTTTGTATCTCTTTGTAACATATCAAAAATATTTATAATTAATTTCTAAACTGTTTTCAGAATATCTTAAAAGATATAAACAACAAAATTTGTGGTATCAGCAATTTCAGTGATATCCAATATTCAATGAAGGAAATACATCCTCAGGTATCATGCATATGTGCCTGGTAATGAACCTCAATTTTTGTGAGGAAACTTCTGACCTTAATTTGGATTAAATTATTTTTTCTGCAATCTGATAAAAAATATATCTATTAACTATGGTATAAAGATCCCTAGGATACCTATAATACATAGTATTGGGCCTATCTCCAAGTATTCAGGAATTTATGAAAGTGCCTGTATTACCATACATTGTATGTGAAAACAGCTACATTTACTAGTGTCCATATTGCTATCACCCCTATCATAGTAAGACACTATGAGCATGATTGTGTGGTAAGAGTTAAGACAACAAGTGTGAAATGTTCTTATAATAATTTTATTCTCCTCTCTTCCTAGATGTGATGTTTGTGCATTTGTACTTAATAAATGGAGGAAAGCTGCTTTCATATACAATGTTACCAAATAGGCATACATTAAAACTTTTTCCACCTAGCAACAATATTCAAAGCTTTAAATTCATGACATTATGTTGTGGAAATAAATGTTTATTTCATTTATTTTTTTAATTTATATTAAATATCACTTATCAATACAAGCTTCAAAGAAAGTGTGTTTTCTTCCCTATGAATGAGTGAATAAGATTAATTTTAGCAAAAAAAAAAAAAAAATTATACCCATTCCCCAAATGGAAATTATTCTAACTACCAAATTTCAGCACACGTTTGATTTACACACATCCTTGCACTTTCACTAAGTAAACATTATTTTTAATATTCTAAGAAAAAAGGAACAGGTCCAGCACAATCTCTTGATTAAGCTATATAGCTTGAAATAGCTATATAGCTTTATTAAGCTATTCAAAATAGCTTGATAAAGCTATTTATATGCAGGTTTTCACAAAAATGTTATTTGTACAAAATAAACAAAAAGTCGCAAGTATTTGACTATTCGTATATATAATATGGGTTATCTAATCAACAACCCAAATCAAAGATAGTTCTAACTTTGCAGCATTTGAATACTTTTAAGCAAAAGATGAATTTCCATTGTTGGGTAACTGTACACTACCTTGTGTGCATTGAGGCATGGATAAGTATGATTGCTTCTCATTGTACTGAATTATTACCAATCAATTATCTTGTTGACCATAATTGGCCTCCTTTATAATTTCATTGAAGAAGTAACTGTATCAATTGCTTTATATAGCCCCAAAACTTTTAGAACTTTGAGTACAAAGTCTCTTAAGGAGACGCAATTTGATGAGTGATTTTTACATGCATTTTTTTTCATAAGAGTTCAAGGTTGAATATCATCACTGCACCAAGGTGCGACTTTTTGTGCATACTTGAAAAATAACACATCTGAGAAAAAAGTGTGATAAAATAGCTAAATCAAGCTATTCTGAATAGCTTAATAAAGCTATATAGCTAAATCAAGCTAGATAGCTTAATCAAGAGATTGTGCCGGACCTGAGGAAAATATGTTGTGCATTAATGAAAAATATTAAATCTATAATCCAGAAAATTCAGAGCAGAAGTGTGAGAAAGCTAAACCAAGTCACTAGTACTGTCAGTCCATGCTCAGTGATGTGTACAGAGTAACCAGATTGAACACACCCGGTAAAAACGTAAACATTTATAATAACAGAGTTTGTGCCCATGTTTACAAACACAGATGCTTGATGTGATATTGAATTTGAAGAATTTTCAAGCAATTTCGATTCATAAAACTGAGGTTATGTTTGGAATAAAATTAGACGTCGAAATAAAATATATTTTTTAACCAATGCGCCTCCATATCGCTGTTATGTTATCACATCGCATGTCTCGAATGTAAATACTGAGTCAATGAATGATCAAGGTGTGGAATGAATCATTGTATTGTATGATATCTGTCAGAGATACTAATGAGTTTCAATTTAAAATAAATGAATAAAAATAGTAAGAGGTGCAAGAGGTAATAGGATATCATCTGTAACACAAAATGATAACTAATTAATTACCTAGAAGCACGTAAGTAAGACTAAAATCTCCATTTTATAAACACTTCCGGTTTTCCTGCCGGATGATAATGCGCAGATCTTCTTTGGATGCTATGTCACATTGTCAAACCTTAACAGATTTGTAATATTGCTTACATATTCATTAAATTTCAGCAATGAGACCAGTACAAAAACTTCATGTATTCAAACCTTCAATACAAAACGCGTACGTGCGGTATACAGAAAAATGTCCATCGGTTTGTAAACGAAGTCTGCCTCTTCCAGACGTTTGCCGATTTAAAGACAAGTCGTACGCAAACCTATTCGTATACAAGGCGTCAAGTCGTAAGTCGTAACACTCCCTCCCCTCCTAGAGTATATAAATATAAAACTGTGGCAGACCAATTAAACCGAAGGGGGGGGGTATTATAATGATATTGTCAAATTAAGAAATTGATTTTACTGTTAATATAATATACATGAACATCATTCAGGCCCATGGGAAGCAATTTCAATTTGGTATATATATGTATATATATAAAGCACTAAAAATGACCAACGACACGAACAATAATAATTGTCAAATTTTCGGGACAACCTGTCCCTTCCTCAGGACAAAGAAAAAAGTTAAGAAGTCATAAAAACAAAGGAAATAGAGAAGCAAAAACAACTAGCACTACTACTAAACTACCAAACACTAAATATTTACAATGTTACATGTTTAATTTGGAGTTTATAAACAGTTGTGAACAAAGAAATCCGGAGCGCTATGAATTGCGTCCGGTCTATCGGGTGTACTCTGGTGAAGTGTGATTTACATAATTGAACGAATTAATTATCGCTAATTAATTACGGCCAACAGTAAATCGTACATTGTCTTATTCTATCAAAATAGCGTAACTCTACATGATAAAAAGAAATTAAAGAAAGATAATATGGAAGGACAATTTTGAAATATGAATTTGGATATATTATAAATTTGGAAATCGGAAAAAAGAAATAAACAAAAATGTGAGCTGTAAATATTTGGGTAGGTTGTTCCAGGATTACTAATACGAATTAACGGTAAAGTTTACACTATATAGAGAGAATGAACTTGTTTGTTACAATTCGGGATTGGGTCTAGTTCACGTTCATCCTGGTGAAGTCATTAAGTTTGTTAATACCATTAGGGCGGAATGACTTCAGCCTGTGCATCCAGAACTTTTCCTTGCCTTTTCTCTGCGCGTCTGTCCATCTTAGATTATGGTCAATAACCACTACTGTCATGTCCTCCCATTTGTGACCTTCAAGGTTGAAATGTTCCCCAACGGGTTCATTGAGTTTTTTGGTCCTAATGGTAGAACGGTGATTATTGACTCTCCTGCGGAGGTCTCCTGTTTCACCAACATACTGTTTGGAGCAAACTTTGCAGCTGATGAGATAAATGCATTTGTCTGTTTGACAGGACAAATTCCCTAGTATTTTGTAGCTGCGGCCTGTAACGGGGCTGTTAAAACTGTCTGTGTCAGAGCTGTACTTACAGAGAAGACATCTTCTGTCAGAGCAAGTTTTAAAGCCCCCGTTAGGTAATGGATTGTCCAATCTGGTTCTTACTACCCTGTCCTTCAGGTTCCTCGGGCGCCTGTATGTAGCCAATGGGGGCTCCTTAAAGACCTCTGCCATTCGTTTATTTGAGTGGAGAATTGGCAGATTCTTTTGAAGGATTCCGCTGAGGTTCTTAAGGACGGGATGGTATGTAGTTACCAGAGGGACCCTGCCGCTATTGTCTTTTTCCTTGTAGCGTAATAGGTTTTGCCTGTCATGTCCCGCCATCTCATCAATAGCAGTTTGTACGGTGCGGGCATTGTAGCCTCTCTTGCATAAGTGGGACTTAAGGAGACCGCTTTGTTCTTAATATAAGGCAGGGGATGAACAGATGCGCCGAATTCTGGTGGCTAGACCCTTAGGCACACCCTTAAATGTGTGTGGGGGATGACAGCTAGTTGGCATAAGATACAGATGGGAATCTGTGGGTTTCGTGTGGAGACTGAACTCGATTTCACCATCAGTCAGGGTAGATGTAGTATCTAGGAATATGTTTTTCGAATTAGATACGTCTACTGTAAATTTGATAGACTGATGAAAGGTGTTGGCGAACGAAATGAATGCCTCGAGGCTCTCGCGACATTCCACCCACTTCATCTCTATATCGTCAATGAAACGCAACCAGCTAAGGGGCCTAAATGGTGCTTGAAGTAGCAAGTTGCGTTCCAGTCTGCCCATGAAAATATTGGCATAAGATGGTGCCATTTTCGTACCCATAGCAGTGCCATTAACCTGCAGGTAATGTTCTCCATTAAACATGAAGTTGTTATACTTGAGAACATGTTCAAGGAGCTTGGCAAGGGACTCGATAGAAGGAATTTGTATGGATCTACTATCCCAGACTTCTCTCTCTCTCTCTCTCTCTCTCTCTCTCTCTCTCTCTCTCTCTATATATATATATATATATATATATATATCGGCAAAATTATTGGGGGGGGGGGCGCTGCCGATTTACTTCACTTTAAATCGAAAGAGTGTAGCTTTCGACCTCGGCGTAAGTATTTAGGATCTGGAAAATATGGGGCATCACTCACTCTTACTCCTCATAACCTATTTGGGTTTTATTTAATTACACGTACGCATCAATAAAAAAAGAATAGTCCACATTTCTTTTCATATAATATATCTTGTCCACAAAATGGCTGTTGATATGAGTTGATTGAAATAGTGGAAAGCACCTTTAACAAATAGATTGCAGTGACACTTTTTCACCAATCGCAACTTCTCGGGCCTTTCCGACTAGCGGAAAAACAACCTCGAATGTATTACGTAGACGCCATGACAACCCCCCTTTTCACAAACTTTGAAATAAATGTGAGAAGACCTCTTATCTGTGGAGTATAGAGTTTAACTTTATTGACTGTAAAGATATTACCTAAAATATACTACAAAAGGGGACTTTTAACTCCGTCTTTCCTATATTTAAATAAATAGGAAGTTGTATATAAAATTTTAACATCCGGTGATGTTAATACATTCGAGGTTGTTTTTCCGACCTCTTACGGAAAGACCCGAGATGATGCGATTGACTTTTTCACATTGTTAATGTATAAATGTTTTTAAAATTTAGAAATTTAGGGACCCCTCCAAAAAAAGATAGAAAGAAAAGGATGATCATAATAAAAATCATGTTGAGAAAGAGTAGTGATTAAATAAGTGGGGATGCCCTGTATACGAAACAAGTGCCTGTGATCGAGTATGTAGAGCAACATATTTACACCAGTACACTTCAAACTATCTGTCATGACTAAGAGTAATTCTGCCCTTTGATTTTAAAACGAATGCTAAAATTTATTATATTAAGAATATAGGTTTTATCCTGACTGGCATCGCCAGTCTTAGTCCCCTCCCTTTTTTCCTTATCTTTATCCGCGTAAGCGGGTTATGTAATTTTTTTCTGCAATAGCTGCGACGTTAATTCCCATACTAACAACCAAAGAAAGACATTTTGTTGTTGTACATCATAGTACATTTCATTGATGGAACAGCCACTGATCAGGAAATCTGTACAGGCAATATGCCTTGTGTTGTTCATGAACCGATAAACGGCAATGGTTTACTTTAGAAATAAAGAAGAAAATATTCAGTGGATGTAAATATTTATTCACAACACCATCATACATTGGCATATAGTCATGAATACAACAAACAATATTAACATATATAAATAAAATCAATAAAAAAAACTACTAACCACTTAAAGTGCGGGTCTGGGTCAGACGACACGTTCCTCAAATATTTTGTATACCTTGGTAGTATATCAAAAGTTATTTATAGAATAGAATAGGATTTATTACCAGATCAGGGCCCAATGGGCATATTATGCATAAACATATAACATGTAAAATTACAGATAACAGACAGAATACAACATATAATGAAGAGCAATCCTTCCATTTTGTACATGTATTTATAACTGTCATTCTCTTGTGATTTCTAAATTGTTTTCAATGTTTAAAAAAAAATAATAAGTACTCCAAAAATTGTGACATTGGCAATTCAAAAGATTACCCATAAGGATTTAATATAGAAATATCGCCCTCTGGTATCCTGGTAAGGTACATAAATTTTTGGTGAGTAAACTTGTTTAGGAAGTTAAACTTCAATTATTAATTTTGGGGGAAAATTATATATTTTCTAGGAACGTGGTCTGACCTTAATATTGACGAAGAATATTAGTCATACTTCTATCACTATTCATGATCGAATATGCTTAGTACAAGCTACTATTCTATTTAAAAAAAATGGCGGCTTCCATGGACGATGATGGGTTTCAAGCTGATGATCTCTATGTTTTACTTAATGTAGATAGAAAGGTGATTCTTTTTCTCAGTTTATTGAATCGGATTTATGCATAATTGAAATTATTTTCATTTATTTTCTATATATCCAGTTGGGTACTAATGATGACTTTGTATGTGACCGCATGACCTATCGTCTGTTCGAATTTTGAGTTGATTCAGTTGAGATTTTAATGCTTGCATTAAATTTTAGACTTTATATGATGTTTGAATGAATATAAAGCATTTGTATGTTTATTCTTCAATTCTTGTAAGATCTCTTATTTAATTTCTTCATTATGCAAGAGTAGAGTAAATTCGGGTTTAGGACAGCAAACTTGACTCTGACCATCTTCTTATCTGACTAGGGTAAACCAAGTTGACTGTGAGCACATCAAGCCAGGTAAGCCGATTGAGCTGGGTAAATTTGATAATCTCAGGTGGCTTTAACATGACGTCCTTGGAGATAGTAGTGTTGAAATTGGTTTATTTTAAGACATTAAGTTTTTTATTGAGGTATCTGTATATGTTACGTCGTGATAACCAATACTGGCTTTTATACGACGGGAGAGAGGCGCTGTCGATGTTATTGACAAATCTTGTCTAGGGCGATCTTGAAGGCCTTGACAGATTTTGCGCACACTGTGTCTTCATCAAGGTGGTTCCATATCATCACAGTGTCTATGAAAAATGAGTGTTATAAATGTATTGCTTTGTTTTAGTTGGTGTTACTTCAAAGCTTCTGGAGTTGTTTTTCACTTGTTTTGTTATGATGTTGTCTGAGATACAGTTTCCAAAGTTCCTTGATTTTATTATTATTTATTTTTGTTCGGAGGGTGTTATGAAATCAGAGAGAGGTAGTGCCGGTACCAACCCCTCAACCACCTTATATAGCAATACCAAGTGGAGACTTCTTCTTTTTACCAGTGTAGGGAGATCCAACTCGGTTGCCATCCTGTTTATGTAGCTGTCTTCCCTAGTTCGATAGTCCTGTTTGATGAATCTGATGGCTCTGCGTTGTATCGGTTTGAGTTTGTCTATATCTCCTTTTTGATATGAGTCCCAGACTGTGGCGCCATATTCCATAATTGATCTTACCATGGAGATATACGCTACTTTCCTGCAGTTCTCTGTGCAGTACTTTAAATTCCTGCGATGGAAGTCCAGTGTAGAATGCACTTTTTTGGTCATGTTATTTACATGTGTGGTCCACTTAAAATCTAATGAAATCTGAAGGCCAAGGTAGGGATTGTTCTGCACCTCTTCTAGTATGTGGTTATTTAGGGTGTAGTATTTGTGGTTCTTCTTTTGTATGCTCATTATATAGCATTTTTTGGCACTGAACCTCATTCCCCATCTGCCGGGCCATGTCTGGAGGCTGTCAAGGTCTTTTTGAAGCTTTATGGTGTCTTCGAAACTGTGTATTGTGCAGTATTAGAGGCAGTCATCAGCAAACAGACAGACTTGTGAGGTAACTGAGTCTGGAAGATCGTTTATATGGCAGAGGAATAGGAGTGGGCCAAGTATGCTGGTGAAATGAATATAATTGTAAAAATGAAGTCCTTTTCTGTGCTAGGTAATGTTTTATTATAGAAATACAGTACATGTGTATTTCCATTACTTTACATAAGCCAGGTTGTTTGATTCTAAGCACATAGCTGGGTTTACAAAATTCAGCTCAGCCGAATCATATGATCATCAGAATCAAGAATGCTATGCATTACAGTGCTTACAGGATTACGGATCAGTATATCTTGGGTGTGAAATTACAGGTAAATTCTACAGATATGTTGACAACCTGGGATATGTTGACGTCCACCCACGGTCCTGGCAGTATTTACTATATAAACGATTTGCAAAAGCTCGGATATGTTGACCATGGTAATGTCGACTACCTGGCTAATCTCAACGTATATTCACAGTCCCAAGAGCAAAATTTACCTGGTATATGTTGACATCGGGACAATTTTCTGCTCTACTAAAGTGTAAACCAAACTGTTTGTCAAATGGTTTCTCATCACGAGTCCGTGTACCTTGACATTGTAAGAAATTCACACCTTTCATACTCATGTTTTGACTTCACACTACTTAATTAATTCAATAGATACATCAATAGACTGTGTTTGCAGAAGAATCCTAAGCACCCTCGGCTGTCTATGAGACGTTATTTGCTTTTATTAATTGCTTAATGTTCAGCTTGGATATTATCATTGATAAATATACATGATTCTGCATAAATGTAGACGTTTATTTATTTCAAAACCTAACATAACTTTGATTTGAAAAAAAATAAATTGAATTACAATGAAAAACATACACATTGAGTTTAAAGGGGCTGGGACACAGATTTGAAGCTCATATTTTCTAAAATTTTCCAAATAATATTATGACTTATTGTGAACTTATAAAAATTCGTTGGGGCCAATTTTTGTGGATTGCTTAAATTTTACTGGTTCGTGGGGACATACATTCATGTATTTAATGATATCTATAGAAGGAAATATGACTTTGAACCCCATGCACATGTATATTAATTCATGTGGGATGTAAATTCATGGATGAAGGTTGCCCACAAATTCCACGAATATTGAGCCACCAGATTCTCTTTTGGAGAATTGTTGGAAACATGTATTAACAAAATGATAAATAGTTATTTCTAATGATTTCAATTTAATAATTCATTTGAGGGTTAGGGAACCATATCTTCTTTGATTGTCAGATTCTATCGCAGTCTTCTACTATCCATAGATGCCATTTTTCTTTGCAGGCAAATGCATGAACTATAATGCTAGTAGTATCTATAACTGACCACTCTTAGATTAATTTACATCTTTAATGAAGCTACAAAGTGGGTGGCACATGCAGTCCTTGGAACACTCTAGTTATAAATGAAATTTCTGTGAAATTCATTCAAAACACTCTTTTCACAGTTTTGATCTGATTTCAAGAAGGGGATATAAGTTGAGTACACTAGGATAGGTTATTCTGTATATTGTTTTTTTATTTTAATGAACTGTGTTGCCATGGTTACTAAAAATAGAAATAGAGGTTAGAGAGTTGTAATGACATTGAACCAATTTTCTAGATAAAAGGTCAAGGTCAAAAACCTCTCTTTGAAAAAACATGAATTTAAAAGCACATTTGCTCTTCCCTTGGCCCAGTTTGCCTCATACTGATGAGGGTAGAAGGTGTGCGGTGACCTTAAATCAATTTTCTAGATAAAATGTCAAGGTCAGAAAACCCGTTTGTGTAAAATCCTTGTCCAGAGCATATTTTCTCTCCTCTCGGCCCTACTCAAACTTACCCCATAAGTGCCCATCACTCAGTGGGGAGGAGGCCAATAATTTATACATTCTGGATGGTTGAAATAATATTTAGTTGGCATGGTTGGTTGAATTAATCATTAGCTAACATATTATAATTAACAGGCCACAAACCAAGAGATCAATAAGGCCTTTCGGCGGATGAGTAAAATATTTCATCCAGACAAACACTTGGATGCGGTAAAGAAAAAACAAGCAGAGATTTTCTTCAACAAAATCAAAAATGCTTATGAAAGTAAGTTTGTTGTGGATGTGTGCAGATACTGAGAAATATCAAAGACAAAGATAATATTTATTGAAATTACAAGTTTTATGTAAATTTCAGGAATGCATCAATGAAAATTGGACATTAGATCTGATAGTTTCATCAAAGTGATCTAAGTAACAAATCTCAAAATATTACTATATGAAGCATGAATTGTTATTAAGGAATATGTGTACTTTAAAGCACTCTACTGATGAGGATTTATCAGACAAGATTTTTCATTTAAGATATTTTGCTTGAAAAGGATTCTTTTATTTACAGTACTTAGTAACCCAAATAAGAGAGAAATCTACAATCGCTATGGAATGAAAGGACTGGAAGTAGAGGGACTAGAGGTAGGTTTTGATGAGGGAGGGTCATCTGTAGGAGGTAGGTATTGATGAGGGAGGGTCATCTATAGGAGGTAGATACTGATGAGGGAGGGTTATTTGTAGGAGGTAGGTATTGATGAGGGAGGGTCATCTGTAGGAGGGAGGGCTAAACATGAAACATAAATAATCTATAACCATCCCCTAACCATGATAAAATATATTCACTTTTTTTTTAATCCTTCATCTGCAGTACATTTTGAAGTAGATATTGACAATCATATTTTTCAGTTTCAGATTGATACTTTAATTAAGGGGGACCGACCCTCTGATAAGAGAGATAACTTTCCAAGGGAAGATTCCTAATATTACTCTTAGTTTACTTCACAAGAGTTTAAGAATTGAGACCTTTGAGTAATCGATTTGATCAAAACTGACATATGATGAAAACATTAATTTCTATTTCTTTTGCCTATACTATTTTTCATTTGAATCTAATGCTATAGCTCTTGGTAAAAATCAATGTGGGGAAGTTAAAAAAAAAATTTTGTGAAATTTTGAGCAGAGTGTCATTCCTTAACTGCAAAGGAAAACTTAACTTTTGACAGGTATATTTGCATTGAAATTCTGATTATAGCCCCAACTAATTGGACTTCAAATACTATCACAAAAGAGAGAAATTGTTTGCCATGAATTTTACCTTTGTGTCTCACTTGTCCCAAAGGATCAAGTGAGTTTGTCCATCATCTATCTACAGTAAAACTCAGTTATAACGAAGTCAGTAGGACCTGTGAAATTACTTCGCTATATCCGTATTTGTTATATCCGTATAAGGAATTCGTAAAATTTATATAGCTGGGGATCCAAGAAAACTTCGCTATATCTATGAATTCGAGTTTTGCTGTATTAACTTTTCACAATTTTAACTTGTTCTCTAGAACCACCTTACCAATTTCAACCAAACTTGCCACAAAGATCATTAGGTAAAGAGAATTCATTCTTTTTTTTAAATGGAGGACCATACCATTGTGAAAGGGAGATAATTAAGAAGATGCAAAAATAGGATGGGTGACATGAGAAGCTAAGCCAAAAAAAAAAAGAAATTTATGTGGAAGCTTTCAAATATATGTATAGTGTAGATTCAAGATTGTTCAAATTATAGCGCCTGAAGACAGGGTTGAGTCACAAATATGGGATCAAAAGTTTACATGCTTTTTATTTAGAAAAAATCTTTAAAAATCTTCTCAAGAACATTTGGCTAAGGTTACTTGTGGAAGCATTGTTGCCTATGATCGATCCTCTTCTTAATGCATACCAGTAATTGGTCCTCATTTCATGCTTTTTTTAACCAAGAAAACTAGATTTCTATCATATACAGGAGAAACACTTCCACTAAAACAATAAAATAGAGTATATTGTGTTATTGTACATATAAATGGTGAAATATGACTATAGACTAGACTTCGAAAGTTTGATGTGTACATGGTATTTCATCATGTTCATATATAAATCCTTTAAAGCTGATGAGATGGTAGCATATTGTGAAATTTTACACCAAGTATAATTTGGTGTCAACATGTATATCAAAAGAAACTTTGGTCAGCTTTTGAATCTGAATTTGTCACTTTCTTGTTTGTCCAACCTTGGCCAAGATTCTTGGCTTATTGCCCATATTCTTCATGATTGTCAGTAAGAAAGTACTCGTATATCAATTCTTCTAATTTTTAAACATGGCTGAAATCTTCATCTCATTGAAATTTATACTCACCAAAATATTATATGACTTAGATCCATCAATCTGTCTTAATAATGTAATTTTTACAAATTATCACTAGGACAAAGTCACCTGCAGAAATCCTAGCGGAATTAAATAGGTTGAAGTATGAGCAGTAATAATGTCATTTTTACAGATTATCACTAGGACAAAGTCACCTGCAGAAATCCTAGCAGAATTAAATAGGTTGAAGTATGAGCAGTAATAATGTCATTTTTACAGATTATCACTAGGACAAAGTCACCTGCAGAAATCCTAGCAGAATTAAATAGGTTGAAGTATGAGCAGTAATAATGTCATTTTTACAGAATATCACTAGGACAAAGTCACCTGCAGAAATCCTAGCAGAATTAGATAGGTTGAAGTATGTGCAGTAATAATGTCATTTTTACAGATTATCACTAGGACAAAGTCACCTGCAGAAATCCTAGCAGAATTAGATAGGTTGAAGTATGAGCAGTAATAATGTCATTTTTACAGACTATCACTAGGACAAAGTCACCTGCAGAAATCCTAGCAGAATTAGATAGGTTGAAGTATGAGCAGTAATAATGTCATTTTTACAGATTATCACTAGGACAAAGTCACCTGCAGAAATCCTAGCAGAATTAGATAGGTTGAAGTATGAGCAGTAATAATGTCATTTTTACAGATTATCACTAGGACAAAGTCACCTGCAGAAATCCTAGCAGAATTAGATAGGTTGAAGTATGAGCAGTAATAATGTCATTTTTACAGATTATCACTAGGACAAAGTCACCTGCAGAAATCCTAGCAGAATTAGATAGGTTGAAGTATGAGCAGTAATAATGTCATTTTTACAGATTATCACTAGGACAAAGTCACCTGCAGAAATCATAGCAGAATTAGATAGGTTGAAGTATGAACAGGAACAACGCAAGTTACAGAGAACTAATCCAGCGGTAACTTTTCTGTCTTTGCACAGCAATATTTGTTATATTTTAGAAAAAAATATAAATTACCTTCTAGTAGCATAATACTGACATTATCAAACACATATGCATGACTGTAAAGGTAATATTGTTATTCTAAGAAATTCAAGACTAATAAGTAATAAAGAAGAGAAATCAGGTAGTCTGACAGGCATTAATATACCATTTTTCATTTTTTTTCAATAACATTGAATTACATCAATGTTGTTTCAATAACATTGAATTATCTTTGCATCAACGGTTTTTGTAGGGTGAGGTAGAAGTTGGAATTAATGCCACCAATCTGTTTGAGGGTTATGCTGTTGACCCTGATTATGAGTAAGTGATAATATCTGTACACTCAGCTTATTCCTTGTATTTGAGACGTTGACTAGTTAAAGTCAATTTAGAAGATGGAATACTAATATCCAACAGTTGAAATACATGTAATACAAGGATTGATTGCTTTGCTTTTATTTATGTATTCATGTTTTGTAATAATTTAAAGTTATGAGTGCTTTGTATAATTATATGAACAGTATGATATTTATTTCCACAGAGATAGACTTAGTTACATAGAGATTTCAGAGTTCAACATCTCCCAGTCTGTAGATTATCCAATAACTCCAAAAGACACTGCCATAATCTCGGGGTCAGTCTCGTCCAGAAATGGAAATGGATCTGGAAGTTTGTTAGTGGGATACCGTCGACAGACCTCAGACAAAGGATGGCTACAGGTACTCTTACATTGCTAAATGGCTACAGTTACTCTCACATCGCTCAGTCTCTACAGGTACTCTCACATTGCTCAATCTCTACAGGAACTCTCACATTGCTCAATCTCTACAGGTACTCTCACATTGCCTAGTCTCTACAGGTACTCTCACATTGCTCAATTGCTACAGGTACTCTCACATTGCTCAGTCTCTACAGGTACTCTCACATTGCTTAATTGCTACAGGTACTCTCACATTGCTCAGTCTCTACAGGTACTCTCACATTGCTCAATTGCTACAGATACTCTCACATTGCTCAATTGCTACAGGTACTCACATTGCTCAATTGCTACAGGTACTCTCACATTGCTCAATCTCTACAGGTACTCTCACATTGCTCAATTGCTACAGGTACTCTCACATTGCTCAGTCTCTACAGGTACTCTCACATTGCTCAATTGCTACAGGTACTCTCACATTGCTCAATTGCTACAGGTACTCTCACATTGCTCAATTGCTACAGGTACTCTCACATTGCTTAATTGCTACAGGTACTCTCACATTGCTCAGTCTCTACAGGTACTCTCATATTGCTCAATTGCTACAGGTACTCTTACATTGCTCAGTCTCTACAGGTACTCTCATATTGCTCAATTGCTACAGGTACTGTCACATTGCTCAATTGCTACAGGTACTGTCACATTGCTCAATTGCTACAGGTACTCTCACAGTGCTCAATTGCTACAGGTACTCTCACATTGCTCAATCTCTACAGGTACTCTCACATTGCTCAGTCTCTACAGGTACTCTCACATTGCTCAATCTCTACAGGTACTCTCACATTGCTCAGTCTCTACAGGTACTCTCACATTGCTCAGTCTCTACAGGTACTCTCATATTGCTCAATTGCTACAGGTACTCTCACATTGCTCATTCTCTACAGGTACTCTCACATTGCCTAGTCTCTACAGGTACTCTCACATTGCTCATTCTCTACAGGTACTCTCACATTGCTCATTCTCTACAGGTACTCTCACATTGCCTAGTCTCTACAGGCACTCTCATATTGCTCAATTGCTACAGGTACTCTCACATTGCTCAATCTCTACAGGTACTCTCACATTGCCTAGTCTCTACAGGTACTCTCACATTGCTCAATTGCTACAGGTAGTGATGTACCGATTAATTGATTAAATCGATTATCTAATTGAAATGGTCCCCGATTATAGATAATCGATTACAATTTTGATAATCGATTACTCAAAATATTAGTTAAAAAGCAAATTATTTCTTTGATTTTTTATTCATTCTTCTTTGAATTTGACTAAATCCTAAATAATAATCTAATAAATGCACCCAATGATACAAAATATTTCAAAAATGTGTTCCAGAAATCACTCCAGAATTTCTAACCAATTTATTCTTCATTCAAAAATGAACAAATTTAATATTTGAAATTGATCGATTTTTAATTGATTATAGTGCATCCGATTATTCCTATAATCGATTATGAAAAAGATCCCGATTTCCCATCACTAGCTACAGGTACTCTCACATTGCTCAGTCTCTACAGGTACTCTCGCATTGCTCAGTCTCTACAGGTACTCTAACATTTCTCAAATTCTACAGGTACTCTCACATTGGTCAGTCTCTACAGGTACTCTCACATTGCATACTTGCTACAATTACTCTCACATTGCTTAGTCTCTACAGGTACTGTGTCATTGCTCATGCTCTACAGGTACTGTCACATTGCTCAATCTCTACAGGTACTGTCACATTGCTCAATCTCTACAAGTACTCACACATTGCTCAATCTCTGCAGGTACTCTCACATTGCTTAATTGCTACAGGTACTCTCACATTGCTCAATCTCTACAGGTACTGTCACATTGCTCAATCTCTGCAGGTACTCACACATTGCTCAATCTCTGAAGGTACTCTCACATTGCTTAATTGCTACAGGTACTCTCACATTGCTTAATTGCTACAGGTACTGTCACATTGCTCAGTCTCTACAGGTATCTCACATTGCCCAATTGCTACAGGTACTCTTACATTGCACAGTCTCTACAGGTACTCTCATATTGCTTAATTGCTTCAGGTACTTTCACATTGCTCAGTCTCTACAGGTACTCTCGCATTGCTCAGTCTCTACAGGTACTCTAACATTTCTCAAATTCTACAGGTACTCTCACATTGGTCAGTCTCTACAGGTACTCTCACATTGCATAATTGCTACAATTACTCTCACATTGCTTAGTCTCTACAGGTACTGTGTCATTGCTCATGCTCTACAGGTACTGTCACATTGCTCAATCTCTACAGGTACTGTCACATTGCTCAATCTCTACAAGTACTCACACATTGCTCAATCTCTGCAGGTACTCTCACATTGCTTAATTGCTACAGGTACTCTCACATTGCTCAATCTCTACAGGTACTGTCACATTGCTCAATCTCTACAGGTACTCACACATTGCTCAATCTCTGCAGGTACTCTCACATTGCTTAATTGCTACAGGTACTCTCACATTGCTCAGTCTCTACAGGTATCTCACATTGCCCAATTGCTACAGGTACTCTTACATTGCACAGTCTCTACAGGTACTCTCATATTGCTCAATTGCTTCAGGTACTCTCACATTGCTCAGTCTCTACAGGTACTCTCACATTGCCCAATTGCTACAGGTACTCTCACATTGCACAGTCTCTACAGGTACTATCACATTGCTCAATCTCTACAGGTACTCGCACATTGCTCATTCTCTACAGGTACTCACACATTGCTCATTCTCTACAGGTACTCGCACATTGCTCATTCTCTACAGGTACTCACTCATTGCTCAATCTCTACAGGTACTCTCACATTGCACAGTCTCTACAGGTACTCACACATTGCTCAATCTCTACAGGTACTCTCACATTGCTTAATTGCTACAGGTACTCTCACATTGCTCAATCTCTACAGGTACTCACACATTGCTCATTCTCTACAGGTACTCGCACATTGCTCATTCTCTACAGGTACTCGCACATTGCTCAATCTCTACAAGTTCTCTCACATTGCACAGTCTCTACAGGTACTCTCACATTGCTTGGTCTCTACAGGTACTCACACATTGCTCATTCGCTACAGGTACTCTCACATTGCTCAATCCTTTAACCCTTCTTCTTTGTTAGTCTAATTAGGAGGTATCATTCAGTTCTCTAGTTTAACTTCTGTAGATCACGAAATTTTTGTGTCAGGGCTATTCCAGGAAAAAATGTATGGGAGGGTTGGACGGCACTTCATATATTTTTTTATGGGTAGTGGGGATGGAGCAATTATATTTGCATGGGTGGTTGTGCTCATCCGATATATTTTTAGATGGGTGATTGTATTTACCCTCTCAAATAATCAACTGCAAAGTACTTCTGTCCTTTTCATTTTGTATAAATCAGTAATTTTTTAAATCATTTTTTTTATCAAACACTCCGTAAAGCGTGTTTACATTGAAAGTGAAAGTAGAATCGAACAAATCGGAAACAAGGGCAGATAACTATAAAAGCATGTGTTACGGTGACTGCAATGACAGTGTAGGATTTGGACACGGATTCGTTGTGCTTTGGACTCTGTGCTTCAGTTTTTTTTTCGCAAATTTAATCAAACTTGATTAAACTGGTAAATTAAATGATATTAGAACAATCAGAAAGATCGTTTTATATTAAACTGAAAGTAGAAAAAAACGTATCTGATAGAGCATGGGTATGGAGTTTGCTAGTTAGAATAATCTAACTGTGTCTCGGGACAAGCCCTCACCACAGTTAGAATACGTCCCATATACTTGCAATGTAGCAAATCGGAGTGGATCCACTCCGAAATGATTCTGAAGAATACAAAATGAGTTGCACTGAAAATAACTACCAAATTAATCATAACAAACCTTTTTGAGATTGTATATGCCTTTTAACCTAAAAATTAATCCATATATATACGAAAATTCAACTCATTTTCTCAACGTTTTTTCCTCGCTTCAAATTTAACGCCATGTTGACATTCGGAACTCTCTGGATTCTTCATAGAAAATGCACAGAGTTCGAGTTATCGCCCGTGTTTATTTTGCTACATTGCGAATACACGGAACGAATTCTATCGTTAAACCGGGTCCGTAGGACAATATCATTTTAACGATAGAACGTTCTATCTAGGAGTTTGCAAGTCAAATATTTTATTTATACCACATACAGAGTAAAAGCAAGATGAGATATGAGTTTGAAAACAAAATATTACGCCAGTTACATACTAGTCCTTAACCTGTTAAGTTTTAACTTGTCAAACTTGTATGTTCAATGTACACAAGGTCTAAGTTGCTATAGGTGAGATTTAGACTTAACATTTTTAATCAAAGTTTTCACTAAATACATGTACACATGCTTATTTTTTTTTTCAATATAAGACAATACCCTACATAATTTTAGTGTGTTCAACCCCCCCCCCCCACCCCCCCCCCCCCAAAATCATTTTGTTAATTGTTATGAACAAGGTGAAAAACAACTTTTTAGGATAAGCTATAATTCACAATATATATTTTAATTAATTGTAGGAATGTCATGTCTAGTATATTAGTTTAACTTGAATTTTACAGATCTATTACAATGTCGTGTCAATATTAAAGGCTTTCAGTGGCGTGTATCATAAACCTAAAGGAAAACTATTTATTTAAGCTGTAGCATAAAAGACACAAAGCTTTTATTTTAAATTTAGATGGGTGGTTGTATCAAAAGCATTTTTAATTTAATGGGGGGTAGGGGAGAAGGTAATTAAAAATGTATGGGTAGTGGGGTAAAAATAAAAGTGCCTTCCAACCCCCCAACCCCCCCCCCCCCCCCCCCCCACATTTTTTCCTGGAATAGCCCTCACCTTATTTTTGGGAGTTAGTTATGTGGTATTTATACATGGTACTTAGGAAAAATAACATGAATGTAGGTTATTGTTGTACATGTATATACCTGTAATTTTAAAAAATACAAATGAAGTTTTCAAGAACAAACAAGCTAGAATAATTACACAAATGTTGTGTTTTTGCCAATAAAATGTCATTTACAGTATGTATTGTACATACAAAATGGCATTTTTAAGAAATAAGACCTTTTTGTACATTGCTGTATGTAGTGAATTGAAGTTTTTGACTTGAATTGTAATATATATTTACATGTATATACATGTGCATACTTGTTTAATTAAATAAACTGCGATGTTTTACTCCTAGGGACAGACTACATTTGGTCGATCAGTGCCATTGGAACTGCATGCCTACAGACAGCTAACCAGGAGATGGTACATCTTTTTTTCTTTTTTTTTTTAAAAAAACCCCAAAAAGAAGTCATAGTTCAAGTCCATTTATTCAAATTATTTAAAAATTGCAAACTGTATGTCAGACACAGTGAACTACAAACCTGTGTATTAAATATTACAGGTACCTACATTTGTAAAAGCAGTAATAAGTTATTTTTTGTGATTCTTTCAAATTCTTTAGAATTTGTCATCTGTAATTTGAGAATATTCATTGTATAAAATTAAAAATTTGATAAAATTTCAAAAGTTGAAATAACTGACATTTTTCAGTTACTGTAAAGGTGCCATTGGCTTTGGTTTGCACAACAATAGGATGCAGTTAGGTCTGTCCTTCTGTAAGTTCTATCTTTACTGTTGCATCTTATAACTGGTTGTTTTCCTTCATCATCCTTTTGAAACCATGTAAGACTTATTAAAAACAATCAAGCTTCCTATACAAGGAATTGATTGAATTTTTCAGATACATCTATATTTTATAAATAATGTCTTTACTGTTCACAGTGATATCCTGCCAGTTAGATCGTCACATTCAGGGGGAAATGGCTCTGAGTGTTGTCAATAGATCCAGATCAAATTTGAGCACCACTTTACGTATAGATAAGGAACCACACAGAGCATCATTTACAGTACAAGTAAGCTTTAACAAAGAACTTCACTGAACCCAAAAATGACCATCTTTTTAAGGTCACAAAGTTATCCAGTTGACTTTCAGTTATTCATTTTTCCTCTCATTGTGCTTCATGTGTACTAATACAAACTGTAAATGTACATAAATTCAAAATTAAGCCCAATTGAGAACTGATTTGCACAATTATTAAATTGTACACAAGTCTGTAGATGGCTCATTTTAGCTCTACTGGACAGAGCCAGAAGAGCTTATGTTGTATACATAGTAAGGTGTCCATCGTCAGTCCATATGTCTGTTTAGCTGTCCAGCTGTAAACAATTTTTCAAATGCTACTCCTTCTACAGTTTTGATCTGATTTCAATATCACTTGACACACAAGTGGACTACTCTAAGATACGTAATAAATTCTGTATATCAGTTTTTGACTTTGATGATTGATGTTGCCATGGTTACCAAAAACAGAAATTTCTGTAGAATTCTTTTAAAATGCTAGTCCTCCTACAGTTTTAGTCTGATTGCAATAAATATTGCCACAAAAAGAGATGATTCAAGGATCATTATTCTATTTAGCTTCAAGTTCAAGTGCTACTTTTCTCTTCCTTTGTTATAAGTACAAACCAGTAGGGCTACGGTCTCGTCAGAAACTTCTGGTTGGAGTTTGTTAACTGCATACAGCTAATCTTCACAATTTTATTTTCTTGTGGACAGGTAGGCTTTTCTAATTTTGCCAGAGCCATATATGTCAGAAACTTTCAGGACCATGACTGCAGGATGAGATTATCATTGACGTAAGTTAAAATGAATATACACTACAAATTAATGTAGATCAATGTGAAAGTAAATGTATGGTCAGTGTTTGTTTTTCTGCATCTGGTATCAAATCATTGAAAGTACATGTACTTTACGTATTCTGTACTTGCAACTGTTTAAAAATTAGTTAAACTTTTTACTTTGATTTCAGTATACAATGAAGATATAAAATGATGTTTTAAAGTACACATACATATGTACATCTATTGTTACAGTCCAAGAATTAATTTGAGTTGATGTTTTGAATGTTTTCACTTTTTCAGAGGTGGGACCGTAGGATGGTATTTTGCATATGGTGTGCAAAAGAAAATTACAGAATTTAGCACAATACATGCTAAGATGATAATTGGAAATAATGGTGGGGTCCGACTACAATTAAGGTAGCTACCTGTACTTAGTGTTCATTGAATATCCAGAATTTAGATTTACTTTTATAGAGAATGATTTTCCCTCTTTCTCAAAAATTGCTGTCATTATTTAACTCCCTTATTACATTCAGTTGCAATGTAGTCTCACCATATTATGTAGTAAATACCAACTGTGACAATGAGTTCAAACTGCAGAGGAAAATTTATAGTACATGCTTTTAAATGCATATCTGTCTTATAAGATTTTAATCAATATTTAAATGTTCTATTTTTCTTTCCAGGAGTTAGGAAATAATTCTTGAATCTGTTTGCTATTTTATCAGGCTACATCGTGGACAACAGTCATATGTTTTCCCAATTTTACTGTCAGAGCAGCTGCTACCTACATCAATATTCTATGGAACATTTATCCCTACCTTGGCTTATTTTGCTGTAAAGAAGTTAATTATTGATCCTTTTATCAAACAGAAAGAATCTGAGTAAGTGTCTATACTTCAAGATGAACTGCAGATCCTCTTAATGTGCATTGTGTGATATCACACGAGAGTTTTTTTTTTACCAAACACAAAATTTTATATCATATTAAAAAGGTGAAAAAGAAAAAAATTGACACCCAGTGGAATAGGTGGAACCAATTATTTTTGTAATCTCTCTCTCTCTCTCTCTCCTGTAATTCTATACATGCATAATTCTGTTAGAAAATAATAATGATGGATTGCTTGTATTGAATTGTGTTTGAAAAATGAAATAATTTAAAAGTTAAAAAAAACATTGTTAAGACCAGTAATTCTCCAATTTTTAAAACTTAAGGCACAAACTTCTGTAGATTCAATGATAGATATAAATCTACAATTGTTTTACAATTTGTTATAAATTATGTTACAGAGAACTTAAAAAGAAACAAGAGGAGCAGTCTGAGGAATTACTACAGAAAAAGAAAGATGCAGAAGTAGCTGTAAGTTCTCCTATAAACATGTAGGCAGTAACATTTATAAAAACCTCTTCAAAGCGTTTTTTATTCTGAAGCAGTATTTACTGAATTTTTTTATAGTAATTAAGAATTTGCTACATGTACAGCATATTGAATTTAGTTTTCAGAATTTTAACCTGTCACTTTGTACATGATGTTATGATATAGACATGAATAAAGTTAAGGAGTTGATGATATTAAAGGTGGAGTTGATGGAACAGACAGTAGAGAGAAGTTTGGAGTACGAGACTCGGAGAAATGGATTGATTATTCTAAAGGCTCTGTATGGTCAACTTACAACAGAAGATGGGTTTGCATTTAATTGAATATTGCAGCCAACCATGGCTTTGCTTTCTCTACCTTCTCATATTATTATACTGAACTGTCTTCCAGCCACTGTTGAGAATTGACAACACCAATTTTAACCTTTCATAAATTTATTAAGCAATCATATCACTGTAGTACAATACACAAAATGTTGGATGGAAATGGCCACAAATTTTGTAGGAGTCAAGGGAGACAACTAGGATACCATAAACAAACGGGCAAACTAGTGGCCTCGCTTAGATGCGAGTGCCATGGAACCCCATGCCTGACATGCATGGTGGCTCATTTATTTGTAACACCATATCAACTATAGATTTAAAAGACAAATTGATTTTTAAAGGGAATGATATAGTCAAAATTCCTTCATTCACATGAACATAGTATATTAACATGTATAACATATACAATTTAAATGAAACATAGTGATATTGATGTTCCTTTTACAGAGAATTAGCAGAATCTAATTGTATAGATGTTAAAGTCCCACTACAAGCACTTGTAGTAGAATCCCAGCTTATCATCTTAGACTCCAGTACTAAGGTAGGTGACCAATTATTAGTGATAAATGCTCATACATGTAGCTTCCCTCTTCAGTGTACTTCTACTAAATTTTTTGGTGTAAAATATTTTTGAAAAAAGGTTACTGGGGAGATGGAATACTGAAACCCCAATGTACTGTACATGTCACTCCCACCTCAGTTACACATGTATGTCACTCCCACCTAAGTTAAGCATGAATGTCACTCCCACCTCAGTTAAGCATGAATGTCACTCCCACTTCAGATACACATGTATGTCACTCCCACCTCAGTTACACATGTATGTCACTCCCACCTCAGTTACACATGTATCTCACTCCCACCTCAGTTAAGCATGCATGTCACTCCCACCTCAGTTAAGCATGAATGTCACTCCCACCTCAGTTAAGCATGAATGTCACTCCCACCTCAGTTACACATGAATGTCACTTCCACCTCAGTTAAGCATGAAAGTCACTCCCACCTCAGTTACACATGAATGTCACTCCCACCTCAGTTATACATGTACCGTAATTTTTGGACGATAGGTCAATACTTTTTTTCTCAGAACCCTTGGGGTTGCCCTGTTTAACAAATCGACCATTCTAAGGCTCAAGTTTACGAAAAATGCACCAAAATCATTAAATTTACGTCGGTTTTAAAGCAAGTTTCTGCCATTTTCGTAACTTTTTAAATTATTTTACCGAGAAAAAATAATAAACAATAAAGTATTAAAGATATATTTCATTGATGTCTTACAAATTAAGTTCCATTAAATATCCGTCGATGTACAAAACAAAACTCAATCACCTCGTAAATATGTTTCATCAAAGTAGTACAAAGTATATTTAACAACATGTTTTTTGCGTTCATCTTGTGAAGTAAGAAGTTGCAATTGTTCACTAAAAATAAAACCGCAACCGTATTGACATTTAAAATACGAAAAAATTTTCACAATTGCAATTGGGAAAATAATCGTCATCTTTTTACGATTAATTTAAATAGTCTACTTAAATATGTTTCATTGTCTGATGACAAAAATATGATTTTAAGTGATATTATGAAGTTGACCTAGAAATCAAAACAAAATACTTTTTTTTTAAACAATAAAGTCATACATGTATGTCACTCCCACCTCAGTTACATGTATGTCACTCTCACTTCAGTTATACATGTATGTCACTCCCACCTCAGTTATACATGTATGTCACTCTCACTTCAGTTATACATGTATGTCACTCCCACCTCAGTATTGGGCCTTTGAAGAAAGATAAGAAAAGAGAATTTAGGTTTCTTTAGATGCATGACATATGAATTGATCTTCCTATGTATGAACATAAAAAATGAAGAAAAAAAAACCCAAGTCCATCCAAAGCAATATTTCATAATTTGGTTTGTTTTGAGTGTTTAAAGGGCAGTGTTAGTCTTTGGAGGATATACTTATTGGAATGGGAAAAAAAAAGGAATTTACTTTATTAAAAATTTTTCATCATTTTCGATTATTTTCAATGATTGACAAGTGAAAAGCAAATTGGAATATGAAATCTGCATGTTCTAGGCACAGTCTTGATGAGATGAAATATTTTATCAAATTTCTTTCGCTGTGAATGTTAAAATTTTTAGAATGTACTAGAAATTGTTGGACTGTGTGGTAAAGAACAGGTAAACTGCTATATTCTGTTGTTTTATTTTACAGAGTGAACTTCCAGGTTTTTATGATCCATGTCCTGATCAGGAGAAGAGTCTATATATTCGCTATAACTTTAGAAACCGACCTCATCAGGTGACTGTAACGGACAAAGAACCTATCAGATTGCCACTGCAAAGTAAGAATTGTTCTAGTGCAGGGTTTCAAATTGAAAAAGTAATTACTGGGTATAGGCCACATGACATTTTTACCAGAATAGTGATATGCCATTTTGTCCTAAAAGTATTGATATTGTAGGCCAAATATTTTTTGACAATATTCATTTCATCTTTCAATAATTTTATGAGGTCAGGTGAAAGCAAAACAAATTAAGAAAAGGAATTATGAAGCAAGTGTAACAGTGAAACATGTCTTCATTTAAAGTAAATTTTTCTTTAAGTTTTTAATGTTTTGCGAATTTTCATCACTGTCATACCAAAGCCACGAATATTTGTATATGCTAATTAGTCATAAACTCTGCAATCTTAACGTCTTTTTTTGTTTGATTGCTTCTGTTTTCTGACTCTGTAGTTTCTTACCAGTACGAGTTGTTTTTAAATTAGAGCCCCCCCCCCCCCTCCCCCTCAAAGTTTCTTCTTTGGTGTTGCATTTTGCTTGTCTAATACTCTGTGTTAATATTGATTGGTAAAGCATATCAGCATGATGAAATTAAATGAAGCAATCTGGAAAACAAGATTTAATATGCGACTTTCATTGGCTAATGAAATCTGCAGTTGCAGAAAGTAGTAAAGTAGTAAAAGGGACTCTATTGGATATAAATCAGAAAAAATATGACCGGTCTTTACTTATAGAATTTAATCAGCCATTATGTTTGTTCAATGTTAGATCTACAGGCTATTAGGGCTGTTCAATTTAAGTTTCTTCAGCCATTTTGAATTTTTATTGTCAAATGGACGATGGCTGTTGGCAATCTGAAATCCAGTAGTGTGTCATGTTTCAGAGGCCTGAGAAGTCAGGTTAAAATTCTGAGCAAACTGCTGCAGTGCATAATGGATGTGCAGCATGGATGACATGCTAGAATCATGCTTTTGATGCTGCAGTTAACCTGTTTTTTTTTCTGGATGAGTTGCTAGATTTTTTAAGCAGGTCCATTTTCAAGTAATTTTAGGCCCTACCTGGACAAAGTTACATAGATAATGCATCAAAGGCTGAATAATATCTGGAATGCTCTTGATGCTAAATCTTTACGTAAGAGTATGCAGTTTTGAGAGCAGATCAATTTACTGTAGATCACCAAATTTTCATGACACTTTATTTTCATGAGATAAGTATTTGGAATTTATAAGCAAGACAAAATTTTTACAAATTCTGGGTATTGTATATAATCTATACTAATGAAAATATATGCGAGAATGGAATTTTAGTGAGCAGACTGTCTCATGTAATTACATGAAAATAAAATTGTCGGGAATAAAAAGTGATTTACAGTAGATTATTGAACATTTATATGGTATTTTTGGTGTGAGCAATAATATGCTGATAACTTTGGTATATTTTCCTCTGAGAATAAGTTCTAAAGGACTGGATAATTTTAAAATATTAATTACTATTTAGCAGTGACAATTCCTCAATGCAAGTTTTTTTTAACCTGTAATGTATTTATTATAATTTCAGAGCTTCTTATTCTGGGATCATTATTCCAAACATTTCTTATTCTAAATTACCGCACTTAATTTGATTCAAAATTTCGTATTTCTTACAATAGCAGTTTTAGTCTTTAAATGTTTTCCAGGTACTCTTTCTTCCCATATTTCTCAAGAGTTTTGTAAGTAATATACTACTGATACTCTCAGGTTCAGATATAATGAAAATTAATTGTGTTTCAGGGCATGTAATGCTGGATGAAACAGAAGAATCATTTGTTCATCTATGACACAGACTGGGATATAGATACTGAAGATTTATCTGTGGTACAGTTTAGGAACAATGTGTTTATCTATGGCTTGATGGACAGAGTCCAAAAAAAAATTGTTTCTCAATCACACAGCTATTGAAAAAATTCATGTCATATGAGACATTGTTTGTGAGAGCAGTGACTTTGATATTCTTTTAGAAACATCATTTGTGTAATAATTGAAACAAACATCTTATAAGATGTGAGGAATTTAATGTTGACATTATTTGATTATTCAATAAGCAATCATACAGACTTGTGAATGGTATATCAATGGCATAATTAAGTTGGATTCATACATATGTTATACAGTGTTAAGAATACTAATTTTCAAGTCAGTTTCTGAAACCTGTTCATAATAGGACAAAGAATACAGTTATTACAGGAGTTACATCTGCGTAGGTATTGTGCAGTTTTATTTAGTTTCTCGTAAGTACTGTGATGTTCTACAAGTAATGACATAATGTGTGCAGTTATATATGTTTTGTTGACAATAAATATGTTTTACTATTTTATTTGTTTGATAACATGAAAGTGCATGATGTACATGTAAGTGCAAGTCCACAACATTCTTATAAATAGACTATTAGACAGTCCTTGAATATTTTTACCACCAGAACTGTAAAGTAAAAAATCATTACTCAGTGGGTGTCAGTAAAATTTCTACGCCAGTGTCAACAGCTGAAAACAATTTGCTCCTTAGTTCATAGTTCACATTACAGCGCTTGTCGCCTAATTGGATTTAACAGTTTAATGTATGATCGTCCTAAGAGTCAGTTCAATAACTGTTATAATTATGTGTATGTCATTTTCATTGTTCTGTTCATCTGTTCTTCTTTGGATAATTATCGGGTAAATGCTAATTTATTAATCCTTGTACAATGTTTAATAATATTTGCGATTTCTTCGTTGATTTCTATTTTTTTCTTGAAATTATAACATTTCATTGCGGAAGATTTAGAAAAAAAAAAAGACGCTGAGGTCAATAAATTGGTTCATATTTCATTGTCATGAGGTGTTTAAAAAAAAGGATTATCAATAAAATATTTATTTGATTTCAAACGGTAGTTCTTGTAGAGTCTATACAGCGCTATGAAAACCAGATCTTTCCTTGGTGTACCCGGTGTCGCATAATTTACGTTCCGGGTAACTTAGCGTTCCGGCCGGAACGCTAAATACCTATAATATTGATTCCGGGCTATAATAAACGTTCCGGCCCGCGTAAGTTTGGTTCCGGCCATAATAAACGTTCCGGGCATCCAAGCACCCTTTTAAAAACTATTTATAATTAATATTTACAAATAATTTGGATTTTTTTCTTTCTCTTAACGGGTTATACGATGCAGCAGGATTTAAACGTATATCGATTTAGAAGAAGTCCCAATATACGGTCTTAATACATGTACATGTACCAATCTATAATCTATGGAATTATACGTAATTATGTTGTTTCTTTGTAAACAAAAGAACGCAAAGGTGTGAAACTTGTTTACATTGATATACCCCATCATGTTGTTTTATGACTCCCTTCTATCGATACAATATGCAGTCATGCGAATCGCTGTGTCATTTCCGCAATTTTTAATGAGTTTTAGGCAAAGGGCACCCTGATCAGCTGGTAATGCTAATAGATGAATTATATTTACGATTAAAAACAATATTGGATAATATTTTAATATCTTAATATATATTTTTTCAAACACCAACTGCGTTTTTGTAAAGCCAAGTATATAATTAAATCACAATACATGAATGAACATAATAGTTGTGTGGGGGAAGGACCTGCAAAGGTGTGAATAGACATTAATTTCAGCGGAAAATTATAAAGCATTTAATATGAAGAAAAACAATTTTCCTGTACTAATTCAATAAAAAATTTTGTGGATTTTTTTTTCTCGGATAAAATTTATTTTTTAAACAATCAATCTCATGCCAGCAAAATATGACGAACTTTAAAATTTCTAAGTTCCCGACTCTAGCAAAGGTTTCGACGGCACAGCTAAAAACTCTAGAATAAAACTCAACTCATTTTTATTTATACAGGTAAGTGCAGGTATCAGCATTTGTAATAATAACTCTGAAGAGGAAATGTAATACAGATACAGATTTGTATTTTACAATCCTGAGAAATGAATAGTATTGTTAAGTCTGCGCAAAATCCTACCTCCTACCCCCGCAGGGGGCAGAAAACTTAGCCCGACTGACTAACGGAAGAGGCATAGATTTAATTATATTTTAATTAACAATTTGTTGAATGTCCATATGTATTTTAATTTCCGCTTAAATGTTACATTTTTCGCTATAAAACGTCCATTTTCCCCCGCTAAAATGTCGAACGCCGAGATTTATATACCATGTATTCAGAACTGTTTTGTCACCTACCTCAATTTTCAAAAGGCATATCTGAATGATATATATAAATAGACGAAATTTCAAAACGAAAATTATTTGGAAAGAAAAGATTACTCTGTAATTCTGTTAAAACATGTTTTCCGCTATAGAATGCTGTGGAAAATGGAAAATATCCCCCTCCCCACTTGAAACGAAAATGCGGCGAGTAGTTCTCGTCAGTTTAAAACTGCACAGCTCCATTTCAAGTTCGTCGAATTAGGCTTTCATCTTATAATCTTGATTATGAGACAGGACGACATAATAAAATACTTAGGGAGAGTGGAATGTATAGAATGTGTTAAAGTGAACATGCGTGGATCTAGAAATATTTCAAAAGGGGGTGGGGGGGGGGGATTGACGACCTGCATTTTGAAAAGCTTCTTTGGAAATATGTCAAGAAGTATTACTGACAGAAGTGGTGGTTTTTGTTGTTGTTTTTTTTTTCCACAAATTTGTACAATTATTAAGTGCTCACAACGTCCATGATCTCTGTAACTTTGGGACATATATCCATTATGCTTTTAAGTTGAGAGAAAATTTTTCTTATATGATATGGTAATTCTCCATGAAATCATTATATATGACGATTGTGTAATCTATAAAAACTACCATACAATGCCATTATGTATTATTTGGCATTGTTTGTTATTGTTAAAATGCGATAAGATATATGTCTAAACAATTAATAAATAATAATAAACTTTTAAGACTAAAATTGAAAGATTATGTGTCAAAGACAGGGTTACATGTTCACATTAAATACTGGAATTGTTTTAGATTAATAGTTAAAAAAAGTTCAAACGCTTTAACGTAAACACATTAGGTAAAGTGAGAAGTAATAAAAAACAAAATGCGTTTGTGAAACACTGATGCATATGGTAAAAACTTTACCTCTTTTGTGCAGGGTAAAGTTCTAAAGTGCAAGTTAAACTCTAAGGTCAAGGTCAAGAGATCAAAATGTTGTTTTCCAAAAAAGGACTTGTATCAATGAAAATACCTGTGATATATGAAAGCCCAAGAACCAACCTTTCAAAAGTTATATATGGCCAAGGTTAGAGATTTTAAAAAGTGGGTCAAAGGGTCAAAATCAATGATACTCAGGGAAAGGACCCGTCACATGAAATATACATGTGAAATATAAAAGCCCTAGCATCAAATGTCAAAAGTTATGGCCAAGGTTAAAGTTAATTTTTTTCAATAGTTCAAACTCCAAGGTCTATGGAAAGGAATTACCGCCAAAAGTCTATTTATCTTGCTTTTATTCTTATTCTGCCTACTTCTTTATTCTTTGTTATTATTGTAACTATATGTCACTTTATTGTTTTCATATTCGTCTTTACTATATTTCACCTTAAACTTTTTTCATTCTTCATTTTGTCCTTACTTCTATGTTGCTTTATTCTTGTAAATTCGTTCTTCTTTCTTTTAAATTGATACAGTTTCTGTAATAAATAATTATGATCATCTCTATTACAAATGTAAATTCAGTCACGCAAACCATGAATCGCATTCAACGAAGACGAATACAAGTAGTGTGAATTTAATGCGGCATTATAACGCTAGGTGGCAGGGTGTTCGCTGCGAGTATTGGTAAAATTAGGTACGCAAACCCGAGCCGAGGTTATTCGAGATTTTTCAATTTTCTGCCTTAATACTTTATCAATCGAACCCAAATTTTCAAATATGTATGTTATAGGTTCAGACATGTACCCGGTGTCGTTCCCCCTGAAGGCTACCTAGATGGTAAGACTTCCCCCGGAAGACTAGCTATATAGTGAGACTTCTCCAGGGGAAAGTCTCACTATATAGTCAGTCTTCCCCCTTCATAGCTAAACTTCCCCCTTTAATTTAGTTTCCGAATATTTTTTTTTATTGTAAAACAATGTTTTATACTAACGTTTTCAGTGTTTGGATAAAAGTTATCCGTCCTATATGAATGAATAAATAAATATATGAATAAATAATTAAAACATTTTAATAGTGATTTTTATAATTAAAACTTCTTAACCATGCAGGTAAACATAGGTAAACTGTACGTTTCTACGGGTATTGACCTCTTTACTGTTAAACTAATTATGTCTTTTTTCTTTTGGTAAGAATCGTCTCGGAACAACACTATAATCTGCTGTGCACGATAAATTTTTAATGCGCACTTTTATATTGATTCATTTGAAACTATTCATCTTTTTTTTATATATAAGATCATTACCTAAATATGCAATATATACATCGTCGATGTAAATAAAATCGAAACTGATCAAACACGGAAGGGGAAGTCCCACTATGGTCGTTTAGGGCGGAAGGCTCACTATATAGCCATTGCCCCCCCCCCCCCCCGAAGGGAAGTCTCACTATATAGCCAGACGCCAGACTTCCGGGGCTAAGACTCACTATGGGGAAAGTCTCACTATATGACACCGGTAGCGGGGGGGGGGGGGGGGGGGCTGGCCACTAAACATTTTTCTAGTCATAACTTTTTACTACTGAAAATGTTCAATGAAAGTCTGGCTGACCCCCTCCCACTTTTTGTTGTAGTTTAGTCAAATAAGGGCCATGTACGTACTGACGTATGAGTAAAATTTGGTACTGAAAGAAGTTGGACCCCCCTCACCCCAAATAGAATTTTCGAGTTTGAAGAATTTTTCTCTTTTTTTTGTTTGTTGTTGTTATTGTTTTTTTTTTTGGTTTGTTTGTTTTGTTTGTTTGTTTTGTTTTGTTTTGTTTTTTTTTGCTTGTCAAGATTTTTAGGCTCTGATTTTTAGGTAAGTTATTTTTTTTTCTCTGGCTGCCCCTTTCAAAAACAATGCTACGTCTCTAAGTTTTATCTGTATTCGCTGTAAAAATTGCCAATATTTATATTC